TGCACCTCACAGTTCTGTGTGGGAAGTGAGCCTCCCTGCCTATATGCAGCCTCCATCCACCCATTCAATGGGCTGTGTTCTGGGCATCAGTGACACATGAGCAAAAAATCCTCAGTCCTAACACCTGGGGAGATGCACTCAGGAAAAAGTAATGGTTCCCCGAGAGGGAGGACCTGTCTGACATGGGGTCAAATCCATGAGAGCTTGGCTCCCCTCAAGGAGGGACATTAGGCTAATAATGGAGAATGAGAGGGCAACCAGAAAACAGATCAAACTTCCCAGTAAGAGAGGGGGAAACTGTACAGAGACCCTGAGTCTGAGAGAACCCACGTGGCTGGAGAGAAAGTGAGGGCACAGTGGTATGAGAATAGATGTGAGGACTTCCCATGCCTCATGTCTTAGTGACTTTTCTCTTGTTACTGGGACAAAATAGCTGACACCCCAAAGTGTGAAAGACTTATTTAGCTCACAGTTTGTAGAGGTTTCAGTCCATAACTGCCTTGAAGGCAGAGTGGCACATGCCAGAGAAGCAACAGTTGATGACAGCAGAAGACAGCAAAAGCAACAGAGCAGGAGTGAGGAAAGGCAAGCCTCTTTCCGCTCTTTAAATTGTACCAGTCTACTGAGATTAAGGTAGTGTAAATCCAGTCAGTGGACCAATCCAGCAATCCCTCACCCCCAGGCCCAGCACCCACAATCCCCACGTTGCACTGCAAACTAATCACACTCTAAATTGAGCCACCTCTGAGAAAATCCTATGACCACATGAGGCATTGGGGCACATCTAGACACAAATCATAACATTTTGCCCCTCACCTTCCAAAGACTCATGCACATCCCTTTATGCAAAAGGCACTTAGTTCATCTCTAAGAGTTGCCAAAGTTCTAACAGTTTCTGCATTCCTGAAAAGTCCAAATACCAAGTCTCCTCTGAGGTTTATGAAGAGCTCTTAGCTGGGAGCTAAATGAAAAGAAATTTAAATACTTCCAAAATTCAAAGGCACAGATAGACATTTCCATTTTAAAAATTACAAACAAGGGTACAAGGGAAGAGAACCAAAGCAAGTCTAAGACTTGGCAGGGCAAGCATTAAGTCCTGTCTTCCATGTGCAGCATCCAAGGCAATCTGTGGCAAAATGTGAACTCCAAAGGGCTTGGGTGACTCTGTCCCTGTAGTGCTTCTGGTGGTTGTATCTCCTATGTCTTCTCTCTTGGGCTGGCTCTGTTCCTTCCTTGCAGTTTTTCTCAGATGATTCATGTTCTTGGCTTCTCCAACCTTCTAGGGTCTCCACTGAACCATTAGCTCCACACTAACAACTTTACACACTACCCTTTCAGGGGCACACTGCCTGGCTTCCCAGGCCTTGTTTTGAAATCTGGGTGGGAGCTTTCCTGACCCTACAACTCTTCCACTCAGCATGCACCTAAAAGCAACACCATGAAGATGATGCCAAGGTGTGCCACCTGCTGGAGCAGTAGCCAGGCTTCCCTATTTCTTGTCTGTAGGAGTCAAGTATCTGGATCGCTGAGCATGCTGAATCCAAATAAGGAACACGTTCTCTATGCTGTGGCCATTCTGGAACAATGGGCTCTGGGGCTTTCTTCTCAAAGCAAAGTTTTTAAATTCTGAAGCTGGAAAGAATGGAGTCCTCCATCTTCTTGTGATGCCCTCAGACCATCTGATCTATTCTTCTGTTGCTTCTCAGAAATCAAGTTCTCCTCTGCTCTATCTTTGTAGTTCACAGCTTTACAGGATGTTTTTTTTCTGGCCGATTTACAACATTTTAAACCATTCTACTGGCCTCTTTGCTCTTGAGTATCAACATATATCTGGCTAAAAGCTCCCTCAGCAGCCATACCACTTCAATGGTAGACTGCCTTGAAATTTTTTCTGCAAGATTAATTAGTTTGCTACCATTAATCTTAGTCTCAAGCAAAGTCTCTGGAATGAGCAAAACACAGACAAACTTTCTGCCAAGCCATAACACATACTGTCTGTAGTCAACAGTAAATGCAGTCCTTCTTCCTAGTAGAAACTTCTCAAGCCTAGTCTTTACCAGCAGGATTTCTATCAGCCTTGTGATCTTGTGAGCTCTAACTGGAATCTCCTGTACAGTACAGCCTATGGTGTCCTAGTGCATTTTTTAGCTGATATCTGTGAATCTTTCCAAACTCTTTCCAATAAAAGTCATTTCCAAAGGCCTCTGAACCACCTGACCAGGTATATTCATAGCAACAACCCCACTTCTGGTACAAAATTCTATTTTAGTTACTTTACCTGACATCCAAAGTTAAAGAGGGAAATGTTTATTTCATTCACAGTATGGCTGGCTCTAAGACAGAGGGGCACATGCCACAGAGGTAACAGTTCATGGTGGCAGAAGATAGCAAATGTAACAAAGTGGGGTGCAACAAGTCTCCTTCTGTCCCTTATATGGTGTCCAGTCCACTGGGATTAGGGTGGTGGCAACAGAATTAGTGGACTGATCCTGAAATCATCCACCACTAATCCCAGCACCCTTAGGCACTGTGAGTCAATTACACACTCTCGATTCAGCCACCACTGAAAAAGCCCTACAACTACGTAAGACTTGGAGAGACGTCTAGACACAAACCATAACACCTCAGTTTTCATGACCTCTATTTAAAAACAGTAAAAATCAACTCTGCTGAATGAAGACAGAAGCTCCCCCATCACCCCCTCCCCCCTCATAGCCATCTCCTGTCCCTCCCTGGACAGTAGAAAGGTTTACCTTTCACCTCACCTGACCCTGGTCATCTTACTGTCACACTGTGCTGGGGCATAAAAACGCCCAGGTACTAAACAAAAGGGTAATGCTGATGTGTCACCATCAAGTGCCCCTAATTCTCTGCCCACTCATTACACTATGCATTTTAAATGCAAATTTCCTTTTTATATTTAAAACTTCTTTATTGCATAAGCAAGGCATGGTGGTGCTTGCCTGTTATCCCCATATTCTGAGAGGCTGAGGTAGGAAGACTAAAAGGTGCAGGCTTAGTTTGGCCAACTTAGTGACTTAGGGAGACCTTGGCCCAAAATAAAAAATAAAAATAGTGGGGATGAGAATGAAGCACATTCTGGGTTCTGGAAGATCCTGGGTTCTAATCCCAGTCCTGAAAAAAAATCATATACAGAATGTCTTGGCCACTTGTATACCACAAAAACTTAAAAAATGTAAGGCAAGCATATTTTTAAAAATTCTAGCTCTGCATACCTCTATCTCAGCACTTGGGAGGCCGAGGCAGGAGTGTTGTAAGTTCTAGGCCAGCCTGGGTGCCACTGAGTTCAAGGCCAATGTGGAATACATAGTGAGACCTCTCAAAAAAAAACAAACAAAAAATTCTTTGGCAGAGGTGGTATAAAAAAAAGTTTGAAGCCAGCTACGGTGGTACATGCCTGTAATTCCAGTTACTTAGGAGGCTGAGGCAGGAGGATTGACTTCGAGGTGAGCCTGGGCAAAATCATATCTCAAAATGAAAAGTAAAAAGAACTTGGAAGATGTAGCTTACTGGTAGATCAGTCCTGGATTGCATCAGTACTAAAAGAGAATTTGAAGACTATGGTACTCTAGGAATAGTAGCAGAGGCCAGGAGGCAGGAGCACAGGACTCTAGCGGGCTGGATTGGAGTTTGCTGTGGCTTCCTGCATGTGTCACTGTGATGTAGCTTCTAGGTGAAGCTCCTAAGCATAAGACTCTTGTCTGTTTGGGCCATTACTGTCTTCCCAGCATTAACCAGGGTGCTGGCACACAGCAAGAACTCATTCACAAGATGAATGCATGGCCAACACTTTCAGGACTGTCACCGTGTGCCAGGCACCGTGCTAAGGGCTGCCCATGATGGCCCTACAGAGAGTCCACTTAGAATCCTCACCTTAGAGATGGGGAAACCAAGGCACGGAAGGGTTGTACAACACACCTAAGGTCACCAGGCAAGGCAGCACCATGCTAGGACCCAGGCATCCCAGTGAGGACATTTAAACATGATGCCTCCTGTCCCTCTAGTCCCTAGCAGGGTCTCTGAGCTCTGAAGCTCCTCTGTGAAGGTCACACCCTCCAGGGCCACCTACACAGCTCTCCACCATCGGTTGCTTTTTCTTCCTCTGTGGTTTCTACTCTGCTGCCTGTTTAATATTTAAGTTGCACACACTCCAGGACTTCTGGAGACCCTTGTCACTGACCTACTTACCTATTCAACCATCTTTGCTCACCCGTGGGGGAGGGCACCAAGGGAAAGGCTGGGGGCAGCTCCGAAAGGAAGGAAGGTGGAGGAGGGTGGGATGAGAGCCTCACATCACACTCCGGCTCCAAGCAGCAGGAGAACATTAATAAAACAAGGTCAGACTCTCCTGCTTCCAGACTGTGCCGGTGTAACACCGATTGTAATTGGCTTTCCAAGAAAGCAGCCTCCTTTCCTCTGGCACAGGAGAAGGGGCTCAGAAGCCCTGGCTGTGTCTTGAGGGGGAGCCTGGAATGGAAGGTGTTGTGTGTGTTCTTGTTATTTATCAAGAGCACTTGGAAGTCCAGGTGGACTCTTACCCCTTGGTAGTATCAGGCCTTTGAATCAGCCACAAACTGGCACTGTGTCTGTCCTAACCGTCTCTGCACAGGCGGGCCTGTCGGGTTCTCAGTGTCCCGTCCCTTTCCGTGGGATTCAACTCCCCACCTTCCCTGGCGTCCTCAGGGAACATTTAATGGACACTGCTGCTCAAAGAATCACACGACATGCTCAGAGCTGCTCCGGTTCCTATTGGGAACTACAAGAAAGCTCTGGTTCATGCTTGACCCTGTCCTTCTGCGCCCATGCCATCTTCCCAGACTAGATGGCCCTGGCGCGGCCACTTGGCAGAGCCCACGATTGTCACGAGAGGTCTAGGCAGGGACAAGAAGTGGTGACCTTCTCGCCAGTGACGCCCCAGCGTGGGCGGGAGGCCGAGGCTCCCCAGCTCCGCCCCCCCCCCACCGCCTCGCTGCCCGTGACGTCAGAGCTGGACCTGGTAAATTGAGCAGCGGTGCCCGGCGCTAGGCGGAGACTGCGACCCGGGGAGGCGCCCACAGACGGAGCCCTCGGTGGCCCAGGCGAGGCAGGAGCGCAAGACCCGCAGGAGATCCCGAGGTACGCGGAGCCGGCTCCCTGCCCACGGGCGGGCGCAGCGCTGGAGGACAGCGGGGAGAGGTCGGGGGGTGCGCACGGACCACGCGAAGCTGGGCGCAGGGCATTTTCTGAGCCCTTAGTCGGGTCGGGGGAGCTCGGGCGCGGCGGGGAGCGGACAGCTGGCAGGGATCCCCGACCGAGTCCCCGACGGCGCTCTCCGGCGGAGCACCAGGGAGCCAGGTGCTCTTGGGGACGCGGCTGGGGATGGCGAGCCGGTGCGCGCGGCTCCGGGACCTGCTTGGCGCTGCGAGGTGAACCCGAGCGCCGGCTGAGCGAGGTCGGGGGTCCCGGCCGCCTGGGCCCTCACCGCGCGCCGCCCCGCAGCTGCGCCCGAGCCATGGCCCTGAGCGAGCTGGCGCTGCTCCGCTGGCTGCAGGAGAGCCGCCACTCGCGGAAGCTCATCCTGTTCATCGTGTTCCTCGCGCTGCTGCTGGACAACATGCTGCTCACCGTCGTGGGTACGTATTCCCCAGGACCCCTTTCCCTGAGTGCCCGCTTACCCGAGAGCTCCGGCCCAGCCTGGGAAAGTTGGGGCGCGCTCTGCAGAAACTGCATCTCTCCTGACCGCTGCGCCTGAGCTCGGAGGCGGAGCTGCGCTTGTGGCTTCGCTGTTGTGGTGGTCAGGTCAAAAACGGTGACCTCCCGATAAGACCCGGCACTTATGTTTCCTCCCGATAATTTCCTGCTTCTCTGTGCTGGCTTGCACCAAGATGAAAAGATTTCTGGTCAAGAGGAACAATTCTCGGAGTTCAAAAATGCTTCAGAGTAAATGTTATGCTACCTCTAAAAGGCGGGCTAAGAACTGCAGGTACAAAGTGACATTCGAGTATTCTACATGAGGGAGCGATTTGAGGCAAACATCTCAGGACCCAGTGCCTGAGCAATTGGAGCCTGGCCCAGCCCTGTAATCCCAGCACTGTGGGAGGCTGAGGCAGGCTAGTCACAAATTAAAACTCCAGCTGGGTAATTTAGGGAGACCTTGAAATGAAGAGAGGTTGCTTCCCCAGTAGGGGGGCACAACCTGCTCAGGTTTGATCCTGGGGTGGGGCAGAAGAGGGAGGGAGGGAGGGAAGGTTGGGGGAGGTAGAGAGAACGATTGGAACATAGTTGCTTATAGCCTTTTTTCCTATAATGGAGTTTTTAAAAACTAAATAATTGAAACCCAAGCCTCTTAATTAGCCCCATTAATAGTTGAGTATTTGGCATGTTTTTCCTTTTAAAAAAATACCAATTTTCAACGTATAAAACAATGTTTTGTTCAGATGGTAAGTGGTGGGTTACTTCCTTCTCCCCATGTGCAGATTTGCAGGACGAATCCGTCAGGTTTCCAGCCTGACTGGGTTTATCCTGGCTCTGGAGCAAGGACCACTGAACTCCTTCTGTCTTCGGTGCTCTGGTGTTTCTCCTGTGCCCAAGGCTTCAATTATATTGAACACTTTTGCTTTATCTTCATGGAAATCTGAGGAATTCTTAAACCACCTAGGTGGTATGGAAAATCCCAGACCCTCACTCACATGACAGAAAGATGAAGTTAGCTTGTGGTAGAGTTTCCCATTTATCATTTCCTGAAGCTTGATTTGTGTTTGTCTTCTCTAAGATGCATAATGGAATAGGCTTCTCTTTCCCAGTCTTTTGAGTTAGAAGTCTTTCGAACCTCTCTGAGAAGCACCAATTGATACCACAACAGCATATCTTGACTGTAGACTGAGTTTTGCTTCTCTTGTTCCTGAGAGGGAATGCACAAGTGACAAAAATCACAGGGGTTTGTTCTGTCTAGTGGACTAAGCAATGTGAAATTGTCCCAGCACGCACGAATGCAGGTGTCTGGCACAGGGGGTTGATGTGCAACTTCTTTGGGCCTCCTTTGGCTTTCGATGTGACCTTAGTTGTGCTGACTCTTGTTTCATGGAGCATTTCAGTGTATTTCAGCATTTCATCACCTTCTTGTTCTGCCCAGTTCCCATCATCCCCAGTTACTTGTACAGCATTGAACATGAGAAAAATACTACCGAAACCCAGACTGCCCGGCCAGTGTTCACAGCCTCCACCTCAGGACGCTTCCAGAGTATCTTCTCCTACTATGACAACTCTACCGTGGTCACAGGGAACTCCACAGAAGGCCTTCACGGGGAGCAGCTGCGCAAGGTCATCACCACACAGCGCATGGTGACCAACGCGTCTGCTGCCCCCTCCGACTGTCCCAGGGAAGAGAAAGACCTGCTGAATGAGAACGTGCAGGTCGGCCTGCTGTTCGCCTCCAAAGCCACTGTGCAGCTCCTCACTAACCCTTTCATAGGGCTGTTGACCAACAGGTAGGCTGTGTGCTGTTAGGCAGGGAGTTCTGTGCCAGCCACACTCATTTCCACCCTGCACCTCTCCCGCCTGCTTGTGGGGACCTGGAGACTGAGGGGTGGGCTGGGGAAAAGCCGTCTTCTCAGCCTCATGTCTCAGTTCTCTATGATGTCCCATGTGTCCACCTTTCTAGCCTCTCCTGTTGCTCAGAAAGTGGGAAAATAGGAAAGAGGACAGAATAAAGAGAATAAAACTTTACTTTTGTCTAACACTGGGTTTTGTAAATACTTTGGTATAATCAGGTTTGGGCAGCATGTGCTTTTCAGTTGCAGTGACCACCGTCAGATTCTGCATTCTTTTTCTAGTCTTCTACCTCTGGTCGTGTCCCTGCTTATCAAAAGCTGTGGTGGTTTCTTTAAAGATAAAGGATTTAGTAGCTGCCTAGTGGGGAATGTAGGAGGAAAGACTGGTGGTACGGCTTCCCAGCTGACATCCTTAGCTGATGCCGTGTTCTTTCCCTTATGCTGGTTACTGCTCATGTCCATGTGCTCCCAGGGAAGAGCACTGAGGCTAGAGAGTACAAGCCACCCAATCTAGGTTAGTGCATATCCACCAGATGTTCTAGATGTTTTGGACTTGTATTATTTGGAGTAATTGTTCACTACATTACTGATGACCATCCATCTAATGTTTATTCTTTCACAGTTGAGATGGCCTGGTTTTGCTTGGTACTGGGAGCCCAAAGCACAGGGCACAGACTTCTGGGCAGTCCTCAAAGATGTTAGGTGCAGAGTGGGAGCTAGCAGAGCTGGACCACCAGGTGAACGTATGAGCTCCACAAGTAGAAATGCAAGAGTGGAAGAGATGGCAGTGTCCAGAGTGTTACCTTCTAGCCAGGCCAGAGTAGAGCTGGGCAGGAGACTGTGCTGGGGGAGAGGTAAGCTGAGGTGGGCAGGCCTGAGGAGGAGTGCCCAAGTGCCTGGCCAGGAGGAGAGGCATTTTGCTAAGGGCAGCATTTGGGGTACCTATGAAATTCCAAAGCCATGTGTAAGAGTCAGGGAGCCAAGCAGTGTAGTTGGGGAGATGGAGAACAAGATCAGCTGCATAACTTGTGGGGTCCAATATGAGTCTATTGTTCAAACGTTAGGAAGCATTTCAATACAGCAGGAGCAAAGCATTGAGCTAAGGACAGGGCCTTGTGAGAGTGAGGCCTTGGGCTTCTCTGGGCTTGAGGGTCTCTGAGCTGGGGAACCATGGGGTAGTGGCAGGGACTCCGGGAGGGGATGGCACACTCCTCCTTCCCCAGCGTCAGCTGCCTTGGATGCACGGTGAGGTGCACAGGGTGGGGCACAGTTCCTGCTATAGTTAGATTCTCTGGACCGAGTGCTGCCATTGAACCTACCTAAACAATCCCGGGCCGAGGCCAGCCTTCCAGTCTGTGCAGAGCAGTATTATACAGCTGCCACACAGAACACAGCAAGCAGATAACCCAGGGAAGGGCTGATTGTGGGCCCACCATGAGGCGCCATTACAGAGGTGACACGCTGCAGCTCTTCTATTCTGCAGGAAAAGACCAAACAGACCCTAAGAGTCATGGGTTTGTTTACTTTCTTTTTGCAAAACCAAGAACGCTTCTTAAAATGCATCTGGTATAATTATGAAATCGGTGCAGGGTTTTGTATTCTGACAGAGCAAACAGCTCAAATACTATATGTGAAAATTGAGGACATTACCGTAATAATGCCTTGCCAATCACTTGGGTGGGAATGTTACTAGCTGTGCTGTGTAACACTTAGAAACTCACTGAAATGATGGGAGTGTTCCAATCTTCCAAATGCAAATAGCAAATGAACAGCTTTTAAAAAATCCCATTTTTTTTTTTAATGCTTTGCTTAAGCCATGGGGAAAGAGCTTGTTTAAAGCCAGCAAGACCCTTCTGCTATTAAACATTTTAAATGCTTTGAGGTTGCAGCTGTCCAAAGCTTATGCTTGGGGCTCTAAAATTTGTCTTGCAAGAGAATCCTAATTTTGTTTTATGACTTGTGAAAGTCAATCTGCTCTCAGGGTGAGTGAACCATGTTGGGTTATCCAGAGGAGCGTTATAACCCCTCCCTGGTTTCCCCAGCTATCCAGCAGGTTTAAAAATGATCTTCAGATCTACCCTACCTGGTAATGGGGAAATGCAAATTTTAATACTAATGTAGGTAAAACCATGGAGTGAACTACTGTGAATTTGGTAATATTTTCCAAACCTGGTAGGCATGAATTTGGGAACCTACGGGTTTTCCACAGTGCTGCTGCTCCCTGCAGTTGACATAGAAAGTTGTGGAGAAGGCACATGTGCACTGGTTCTTTTTTCTTCTTTCTTTCTTTCTTTCTTTCTTTCTTTCTTTCTTTCTTTCTTTCTTTCTTTCTTTCCTTCCTTCCTTCCTTCCTTCCTTCCTTCTTTTCTTTTCTTTTTCTTTCATCTTTTTGAGACAGGGTCTCGCTATGCAGTTCAGGTTGGCCTTGAACTCACTTTGTAGCCCAGACTGGTTTCAAAATCACAGTGATTCTCCTGCCTCAGCCTCCTGAGTGCTGGGATTACAGGCATGCACCACCACATCCGGCTTGCATTGTTCTTTCAGTCTTTCCTCTGAGCTGTTACCAGTAGTAGTCTTTTAACCTAATTTGTGCGAAATTCATCCTCAGTTAGCAATGGAGGTGTGATTCATGTTTCGGGTGTTGTTAGGGTACTATACTTTTGCTGAAAATATGTGACCAACTAGGAAGCAAAGGACCTTGGATTTTGGCAAGAGCCATTGTCTCTTATCCAATGACATATTTTCCAGTGCCCAAGAGTGCTTGGGTCAACTTCCAAGTGTGACTTTGTTTGCAATTCCAGTCATTCTACAAGTGCAGTGTGTGTAACGGGAGACAGCAGGAATTACACTAGTGACACCCGTCATAATTGGATCTTGGGCACATGTGTTCATAAAAGGAAGGTTCTAAGCAGAAAAACAGTGTACACACTCCGTAAGTCAGGTGAAGGTGTAGGCTGCCTTTCTCTTTTTGTGCTGGGGATGGATCCCAGGATCTTGTGCATGGGGAGCAGGTGCTTTACCAGTGAGCTACACCCCAAGCCCAAGGTGTCAGATCCTGGTCTTCGCTCACTTTCATAATGGATTAAGCAGCATTTGTGTCTTGAGAATGGAAAATTGATTCTGTAGGCCACCCAGCTGGCGCGCGAAAGAGTTAACTGTGGCTGGAGGCCATCTCCCCTGGCTTCCTCTTTAGTTTTGTTATTGTCTGGGTGGTCTGCTTTTTATCAAGCCAGCGTCACAGGCTTAATTCATTTTCATAGTTACCTAGTATATTTCAAAGCAGTTATTTTTACACACAAATCTTAGCCAACATCTGAATGACAAGGGAGAAGCCGCAGGGAATGGAATCTTTACAAAACCTACTGGGGTTATTATTTGTTGCCCCGAGCTCCAGTCGGGTGGTTGGAGTGGGCTTTGCCGGAATAAGCAGTGACCTTTTCAGCTTCTCTGCGGACAAGGCAGCCACTGTTGTGGAAAAAGATCTCCCATCTTAGACGACCCTGGGGTAGTGAGGCTAAGGCTTCCGTGGAAGGGGCACGTATGGCAGACTCTTCATTTCTGAAATGGGAGGAAATCACCAATAGGGTTAGAGCGGTTCTTCTCATGGGAGCAGAGTCTACCTGAAATGTGTCTGGAACCAGGGCTCACACTCCAGAAAGTTAGAGATCCGTAATCCATGCAGTTCTTGTAGGCACTGAATAGCCAATAACAACCATCCCCACCCAGCAGCAGACCCAAGGACATAACTTTTATGGTTTATTTGTTTTTCTAGGGATTCAGTATGTGATTTTTTTTTAGTCTCATTCAAATTGGATTAACTGCTCGCTCCCTGACACTCTGCAGAGGCAATTGGATGACTCATGGCGGGAGGTTTATAATGGATGTGTGGATAAAGGTTTGCCGAATCAGATTTAGCTTGCTATATTTATTGAGATAGTATTGAATTGAGACAAGAGGGTCAATTCAGAAGTTTCTGACTAATATTCGCCGAGTTTCTGTCCACTTAAAAGATATTGTGGGGATGGAGAAAGGCACCAGTGTTCTGCCTGTTACTCAGTAACCCTGGGGCTAACAGGCCACCATCCTTCTGAGGTGTGTGTGCAGGGGCTGGAAGAGTTTGAGGGTAGAGACCCAGGAGTTGTCCTCCGTGTCTTATTTTCCTTGGGACTGCTCACAGGAAGGGTGCTGCCTGGAACTGACTGCTGGGTACCCTGCTTGTGGGTTGGCCAGTGCTGGGGACACAGACGTGTGTGTGACCAGATGCAAGAAGGCAGCCCTTAGCCCCAGTGTGGCTGCAGCTTTTGGATTGCTCTGCCCCTGCCTGTGAGCTACTCTGTGCCATGGAAGATGATGCGTTTCCTTCTAGCTTTTGTCATTTGATTATTCCAGATACGCTTTGTTAAAATCCCAAAGGAATTTTAAAAAAATATTCATGAAAAGACCCTTGTGTAATGCACAGCCCTGTATTTTTCAGGGAGACAGTGCCTCTTCATCCCACATGCCACTGGGAGCCATCACCCATTGGGGCTGGCATTTCCACCAAAATCTATACCTGGTGCGCAGGATGCACTCACAGCACATCCACCACTTGAATTTGGGACAGGTTACTTGAGTCCCAGGAGTGGTCATCTGAAAAGCAGACTCTGCCCTGGCTACCGCAGGTGACCGCAGTGGGTACCCCAGGCCTCCTGTGTGCTGTTTCCCTGCCTGTGGAGTGGCCGAGTCGCCTGAGGGCCTCGGTGGCTTCCAGCTCACCTGAGCTGTGCACTGCCAGGTGACTTCAGCCTCTGGCCAGACCGAAGCCCTGGCAAACCATCACTACTGGTTTGGGCACCCCATGTGGATTTACTGCATTTTCTCACATTTTTGCCCTGGAACCACTTGGAGCTTCTCCCTGTGTCTGCAAATGGACCACCGGTGCTTTATGTGGGTGAAGGTTGCCTCTTTTAAAGCTTTCAACCAAAGCAAAGAGAGAAAAAAGAGTTAAACCCTAACCCCAATGGCTGGGATGTATATATGAGCAATACAAATATAGTGAAAGTTTAAAATAAAATTATTACAGTAAAGCACATATGGCCGTTAATCTTCTTCAAATTCTCCTCCTCCTTCAGGCACACTTAGTCCCTTCATTTTTGCCACTTTCCCAGGCAGTGCTGGAAATTTCCTTAAGTGTCCTTAGTTTTGCTGTGTCACATCCAGAGTAATGGTGGATGAGGAGACACTAGGATGTTTTTACTGGACAGAAATTGCTGTAAACAGTTGACCAGTGAGGAGTGACCAAAAAAAATCCAGTGAAAAATTAACTGTATAAACTCGACTATAGTAAAAACCACTTTGCATTAGGTGGAGGTCCCCCCAAATCATCTCCCTTGCTTCAAATATAGTCATCACATCATTCTGGGGAAAGTGTTGTTTTACTAGAATGCATTTTTTAAAAAATGTAAGCATTGATTGTATTTTGGGATTACCCGTTGTATTAGTATTTCAGTTACTGAATTCCTCAAATCTGTGTTAGAAGAGGTTAAAAGCCTGTGTTTCCCTGTGTGGGAAAATGGTCACGTGTCTGTTCTTTCACAAGATGCACCAGAGCTGTAGACAGTAAGCCATCTGCAAGTTCTCTGTGGGCTTCCTGGACTTTTCCCTGTTCACTGCCCAGCAGTGCCATGTAAAACAGAGCTACGGGGTTTATTTTATCCTCCTGAGTAGAAAGCACAATGCCGTCACCTTAGGCTGCCTGGGACCAGCAAGAACAGCTGATGGCAGTGTCAGGTCACTGTTTCATTGTGGAGTTTCCTCATCTGTAAAATGGGGAGCTGATTGCCTGTGTGAAGCACTGAGCTGGTGGGTGTAAGTGCTTGAGGCTTTGGATCTAACATTTAAATGAAGGTGCTGTGACTGTAACTGCTTAGGAGAGCCCTTCCTGGAGCACCTGGGCTCAATACGCCTGGCCCTTCTGGCTTCTTGGATTCCTTTAGTCCCTCTCCAGACTCTTGGGGTTCAGGACTGGGTTGAAAGAGGCCTGAAGATGCTCCTGGCTCCTCTGAATTGAAGAGAGCCTAGGAGGGAGCACTTGGCCTGCCCATCCTGTCCCCTCTTTCTCAGGATGGAGGGAGATGAGGCTTACATGGCAGGCACTGAGCTGTCTGTTTAATCCTATGAAAACACAGGGAAAGAAGGAACAGGGGGAGAGAGGAAATGAAATTTCTAAAGCATCTCCTGTGCTCCAGCTGCACTTTAAATGCTTTAACATTCATAGCTCTCTATGTTCAGGTCTTAGGAGATGAACAGGGGTCTCTTGGTGGTGCTAAGAGGTTTGCTTGGTTAAGGGAAGGGTCATGTGCCCAGCCAGTGTGTGATATCAGAAGACCCCTGGCCTGCTGGATAACCAGTTTGAGAGGGAAATAGGGATTTCGACTTTTTGCATAGAACATGAGGTCTGTCTGCGTAGGCTGGCTTCACTCAGGTCAACAGGAAGATAGGTTTTAATACCTGGCTTCCTAATGCCTCTTAGATTTAAAGGGGTTGTCTTTGCTGCTGGGTGAGTCACCTGATGGTGTGTTTCACCAGACAGAATCATTGGCTGTGACTCTCCATTTGGTGATAGCCTAGCAAACACTAGAATTAAAGAAATAAAAAAAATTGATGGAAATAGGGTTTGTATGCTTTGGATGTGCTCTGGGTTACTTGCCAATATTGAATCAATATTTATTCCAGGGGAATTTTTGTTCAGAGTGCCAGTCCATAAATGTATTCACGTTCCAAGGCAGCCAAACACAAAAAGGTCACGTAGGAAGCACGAAGAATATGAATTTTTAGAAAAGTTGACCAAAAGCTTATCTGTCTGATCTCAAAGGGTAACTAAGAGACAATCAATATAAAGCTTTACAAAAGTACCCAGCAGTCACCAGATTTTCTTCTTGTTTGTGTTTTGCAGAATCGGCTACCCAATTCCCATGTTCGCGGGATTCTGCATCATGTTTATTTCAACAGTTAGTAAGTGCCTCCTGTTTGTCTTCTCAGTATTGATATCAGAATGAGCTATGCCATTCTCAAGCTGAGAATCAGAATAAGGGGGGAGAGGAGTGACGGGAGGGTTGTGTGCTAGAGAAAGGAGTGGAGAATATGGAAATACATCTTTGGTTAGGGATGGCTTTGGAAATGCCCCTGTTGGAATGGTGGCATCCCGCTGGCAGGGGCACAGCCCTGATGTGCTGTTGTGGGCCTCTTCTTTTGGCAGTGTTCGCTTTTTCTAGCAGCTATGCCTTTCTGCTGATCGCCAGGTCCCTGCAGGGCATCGGCTCTTCCTGCTCCTCCGTGGCTGGTACGTATGGAGACACCTGTGTGTGGGTTGGGGCGTTGTGTTGGTCAACTTTCCTTCACTGTGATAAAATACCTGAGGAAAACAACTTAGAGATGTAAAGGATTATTTTGGGTCACGGTTTCAGAGGTGTCAGTCCTTTGGAAGCTGCTCCATTGCTTTTAACTTGTGGTGAAGCAGAAACATCATGGTGGAAAGATGAAGTAGAGGAAAGCTGGTCTCTTCATGGCAATCAGAAAGCAGAGAGAGGAGAAAGGAGCCAGAGAGGAAGGGGCTGGGGACCCGAGGTAGTCCTCAAAATTACAGTCCCATGAGCCTCTCTGTCTGAATAGACCCCGCCTCCTCTTACCCCCTAACAATGCCATCAAGTTCTGACTTCATCAGGGGTTTAATCCTCTAATGAGGTTAGAGCTCTCATGACCCAGTCACCTGGTGAAATCCCTACCCCTCAACACAAGATTTTGAGAGATATTTTAGATCTAAACTGTAACCCCCAGTATTGCCCTGACCAGCCCTCTGGACAGTTAACTGGACTAACACAGGGGCTCAAGGAATTGGTGATGGTGGTGGGGATACTTGTGGAAGCTGCCCACCTTTCTTTTGGGGTTCTTCTGGGCCCCACCTGCAGCTCCCGTCACAGATTCAGGTGGATCACCAGTCTGGCCTGGCTGTTAACCGTGTCTTCAATGTAGGGATGGGCATGCTTGCCAGTGTGTACACAGATGATGAAGAGAGAGGCAATGCCATGGGGATCGCCTTGGGAGGCCTGGCCATGGGTGTCCTAGGTAGGTACGGGCCACTGTATAGGCCAGTGAAAAGAGGGGCATGTCTGGCACTGGGTGGTGGTGACAGTCACCTGGCAGCCCTGGCCATGGTGGACCTGAGTCTCGTTTCTATTTCTTAACTGCATGGAGATTTTGGAAAATGGTAGAAGGAGTTCTTGCTGGGAGGACATGGGTTTTGTCCCGAACCTCTCTGGGCCCCCATGTAAACCAAAGAGCTGAGCAGATTGGTCCACCAGACCCCCTTCCTCAAACATTCCATGTGTTAAGATCTGAGAGAACCTTTCTTTCTAGTCTGCCTCCCCGACCTGCCCTGGATGATCTGCCCAACCATGGGACGAATGTTTTCCCTGGTGGAGATTTCCATCATTTCCCTTTGTCTTTGACATACCTGGCCTCAGTTTGGAGCGTGTGGCTCCTACCTGTGTGTAGGATAAGAGGTGGAGCTCTGTTCCCTCCTTTCCCAAGCCACAGAAGTGGCACAGTCCTATGGCCTGGATCTCCTTTCTTCGGGACCTTCATCTCTGATGGGGGAGTGCTTTGTATGCCCTGGGCATTCCTCAGTGGAAACCCTCCTAGAAGACATTGTTGCAAAATTTACTGCTAACTAAAAAGAAAGTGGCATGACCCCCTTCTGTCTTTTTTTGAGCTAATTTTGCTCAAAAAAAGAGAAATACATGAAACTAATGGCAGGTCTAGTCTTGAGGGGACATCCACCGGGACTGGCTTGGGCCCTCTCTTTCCACAGTGGGTCCCCCATTCGGGAGCGTGCTCTATGAATTTGTGGGGAAGACAGCTCCCTTCCTGGTGCTGGCGGCCCTGGTGCTCTTGGATGGAGGTGAGTGAGGTTTCCTGGGCACCGGGCCATGAGCCTGGCATTCCTGAGGGCATGGACTCCTGCCACATCTGCTTTCCGGAAGGGAGACCATTTGTGTTTTTCCCTTGTAGTTATTCAGCTCTTTGTGCTCCAGCCATCCCGGGTGCAGCCAGAGGTAAGCATCTGGGAAATTGGGACCTACAGCGGTCATGGCGACAGTTCTAACCCTCATTTTTCTGCTTGACAGAGTCAGAAAGGGACACCCTTAACCACTCTGCTGAAGGACCCCTACATTCTCATTGCTGCAGGTGGGGCTTCTGGGTCCATCTCGGATGAGACTGAGTGAGGGAGGTAGCAGTGTGTGATGGGTGCCAGTGTCGTTAAATGTGGGGCTGAAGGGAACATAAAGGGCAGACAGCTTCTGTGTCCTCAGAAGTGGGTTTCTTCTGTCATTGTTTTCTGACCTCAGCCAAGGTTTCTTTTTTTTTCACTTGGGGCAAACCTTAACGATGTGCACCTTGCTCTGCAGAGGGCCAGTGTCACAGGATGCCATCCTTAACACAGGATGCCCTGCCTCACAGCATTGCTTGGAGCCTGAGTTGCTCACTGCTTTTCTGTCAGAATCCATCACTGTTTGGCTTTGAATTTAGTGGCTTCATGGCAGGGATCTTATGTGGGCGTTCTGAATCCCCCTGGTGTATATGAATAGAGACTGACAGTAGATTTGCAGAAGTCTGGGAGGACACTGCTCCTCCTGCAGAGAGCCTGTCTTCATGGAGCAGTGGGGAGACTGACAGGAAGCCCTCTCTGGTGCAGGGTCACACCTTTGAGTTCTTGGCCTGGACAGGCTAAAAGAGAGCTTTGGTTTCTCTGTTTTGGGGAAGGAAGGGAAACAACCCATATCTATTTAAGCACCTGTCCCCAAAGACCACCCTGGAGGTAGCAGGCCACCTCCCTGTGACCCAAGAGACCAGCTATGTGTAGGCACTGCCTGGACCTGAGTGCTGAGGTTGGCCTTGGCCCTGGTGTGAGGCTGGGGGAAGTGTGGCTGGGCGCTGCTCTCTGGGCGGCTCTGCCATCTGCCTTCAGACCCAATGAAGGTGCATTTATGAAAGTGGGGCTCCAGTACTCCAGGAGAGCTCAGGGAGCTTTTGAGAAGGGGCCCTGTGCTGCCTTTGGACATGTAAATTCAACCTCTTCCAAAGCTGCAGGCTGATCTGATTTAATCCTTCTGGTGCTGGATTTAGGGAGGATGTATATAGCCCAAGTACTAGAGATCTCTTCATGTGTTGGGGTCCTGCTAGGTGCAGTCTCTCAGGCCTGGGATGCCCCAGAGCCCTGGCCATGTATTCATGGTAGAGAGGAGGGCGTGTGGTGGAAGATGAGGTCCCAGAGTTGTTAATTCCTGAAGCTTGGATAAATCTGGAAGGACTGCGCCAGTTGAAACCTCTCTGACAGGAGGGAATTCAGGGACCCATTCCACACTACTGTCACACTGTTCCCAGTGCTTGGTGGGGGTGGTGGGAGGAGTCCAATCATTCTGTGTTAGCCCTGTGATCCTCCAGAGATATCCGTGTTCATGGCACGATAAAACATATTCCAAAGAGTCTCAGGTTGACCAGTGTCGTTTGTCGTCTGGAAATTGCCTCGCTGCTGGGGCCTCAAGCAAATTACTTCATTAATAAATTGGAGCTCCTTTTCTTCAATTAATAAATTGGTCTCATTAAACCAAATGATCTGTAAGGCTTCCTCCAGTTGCAAACGCTATGACTCGGGGATTCTACTTGTTCAAAATAATAATAATAATGAAATAACAACAACAACAATAACAATAAAAACATACCCCTTGCCATCGCTTTGGCTTGGTGTTTATCTTTTCCTGATGGAAGTAGAGAAGCTCTGAACAATTGAGCTGTCACCACTTCGGAGATGACTGAGGACACTGAGCATTGGAAGCAGAAACACGCTAACCTGTTCCTCTCCCAAAGGCTCCATCTGCTTCGCGAACATGGGGATTGCCATGCTGGAGCCGGCCCTGCCCATCTGGATGATGGAGACCATGTGTTCCCGGAAGTGGCAGCTGGGTAAGGAGCAGGGTAGCTCTTCTCACTCTCAGACCTTTGTCCCCAGGCGGGTCCTGTCAGTGTAGCCCTTCCGAGCTACCCACACCAGGATAATAAAGTGTTTACTGCTGCCTGGCTCTTAACAGGGTCAGTGCCTTGGGCAGCATTGAAGTCTGTTTGGGCTTTGCATCATTTGTGGTAGACGCTCCAAACAAGAAGGTAAAATTACAGTGAGAAAGAGAGACAGAAACAGAGTGAGAGGGAGGGAATTCATAGAACTTTTATTACAATATATTGCTAACTTGCTCTATCTCATTATTCGTTATTGATCTCTCTCTGTGCCTGTTCTACAAATTAAATTCTAGCATAGGTTTGTGTAGGTGGGGAGCTGCCTGCAGTCTCAGGCATTGCTGGCGGTCGGGGTACGTAACCCCACAGACAGGCAGGAGCTACCACTGGGTCGCTGTGTTTTGTTGTGATGGTGTTCGGCATTGACATGCTTGTGACTGTGTGTGTATTGTTTCAACAGAGCTCTGTAGGACACTGTGATTCATCTCCTTTCTTTTTAGGAGATTGCTAATCAATGAATTAGTCACTGCCTTATGTTTTCATTTTCCATAGCGCTAATGGGTCCAGCTCCCAGACCTTGGCAGAGATGAAAGGAACCTGAAATGCAGTCAAGTGGGTCAGCAGCGTAGCCTTCCTGTGGTTCTGCTTCTCATGAATATCTGTCCTGACTCTCCAGGCCAGATGTGGTGCTCTCTGGGCCAGACTGGGACTCTCTTCCTACGTTGGGCATCTTCTTTACCTCTTCTTTTTCCTATGTCCTTCTTTCCTGTGTCCTTCTCTCTGCTTACTCCCTCATCACGAGAGACCACATCCTCCAGCGGCTTTGGGGAGGATGCCTGGCCAATGAAGTTCTCTGACATGCTGCGTATCATAAATAACCTTACCCTCACCTTCCACTTGCTTGACTTAGTCTGCATTGGTGTGTGTGTGTGTGTGTGTTTGGTTTTGGGGATAAAACTCAGGGCCCTTTTACTACTGAATTACCTCTCTAGCCCACTTTTCTTTTATCTCTCCTCTCCTCTCCTCTCCTCTCCTCTCCTCTCCCCTCCCCTCTTCTCCTCTCCTCTCCCCTGCCTTCCTCCTCTCCTCTCCTTTTCTCTCCTCTCCTCTCCTCACCTCTTCTCTGTTATGTTCTATTTTCTTCTCTTCTGTCCTTTTCTTTTTAATTTAATTTTGAATTACGGTCTTGATAAATTGCCAAGCTGATCTCAAACTTTCCATCCTCTTGCCTTGGTTTCTTGAGTAGCTGGGACTACAGGTGTGTACCACCACATGTAGCTGCCTGTATAAATTTTTTTCTTTTTCTTTTGTCTTCAGTGGTGCTGAAGATGGAGCCCAGGCCTTTACGCTAGCGAGGCAAGTGCTCTGTCACAGAGGCACACACACGCCCCAACACTGTGTGAATAATTTCCTTGTTGGAAATCATTTTCTCTTGGAATTTTGAAGACCTGTTCTGTTGTCTTCGGGCATGCAGGGGTGCTGGGGGGAGGCCAGGGGTGTTTTCATTGCTGATCCTTTTTGGAGCCTGGGCAACTTCCTTCCTCTTTGGATTGAGCGTCTGTGATGGTGATTTGCACTGGGGTCCACTTTTCTCTGCAGTGGGTCCTTTTGGTCTGCTGGACCAGCTGCTTCACGTGAGGACCCACTTTTGATCTGGGAAGCCTTTCTCTATTATTACTTCACTCTCTTCCCTCATTTCCTTCTATTCCACTTAGTTGGGTGTTGGACCTATATGTTTTCTTCTCTCATCTCTCTTCTCTTATTGCCCTGGATCTGTTCATCTTCATTTTTTTTTTTTTAAATTGGTACCAGGGATCGAACTTATGACCGCCTGCTTGCAAGGCAGGAGCTTATGCCGCTGAGCTAAATCCGCATCCCCTTCATCTTCATCTTTTGAGCCATCTCTTGAATTTTAAAATTGGTATTGTCATATCTTAAATCAGAAGAGCCCTTTCGTAGTGGGCTCCTCCTAGCCTGTGAGTGGTGTTTGGTGTGTGTGTGTGTGTGGTCACCGGTGAAGTGACAGCCTCTCACTGTCTTGGGAGGAAAACTTTCCTTCAGTCCCTCTTTCAGCCTCCTCATTACTCAGGCCTCCATGCCGCCTGGGGCTGGGCAGTCCAGGGCTCCTGAACCATCCCTCTTGCTCTAGAGAAACTGCCTCCTTGCAGGGTGAGGCTGGAGGACTGAGGAGCAGCGCTACCCAAGCAGCTTCCCTCTCTCTCTGGACAGCCTTGGCCCTCAGTGGGTACCCTGTGTCTCAGGCCTTGGCCCCTGCCTTCATGAGCTATGAGGCCCCGGGGGCTTGTAGCTTGTGGATGTCTCGCTCCACATGCAAATGGGAGGTTCCAGCAGTCCATGTGTGTTCATTTTCCTGTCTGTCCCCTCTGCTTGCTTCTCCTGGTCCCTTCTGTCTGTCCCTAGGCTGGCATGTGGAGGAGGGAGTGGGATGTGTGTCTGTAAGTTTCTTTTACTGTTTCAGTAACATTTCAGTGAAGTTTGGAGTGGAGGACTGAAACCTATAGATTCAGGCTGCCCATCACTCATTTTCACTGTTGTAAATTGTTTTCTTATAAAGTTAAGCATTGCGTTTTCAACCACCTTTATTTTTGAGTGTTTGGGCTGGGCCAGTGTTTGTCATTAGAAACCGGCCAGCGGAGGGTACCTTCTGCCTTCCCCTTGCATCTGGGAGTTTATCTGCAGGGGGCATTCAGTACCTGCTGTTAGTGCACTTACACAACTATTCTCAGCCTTCCAGTCTTTCCTGTTGACTAAAAGGTTATGAATTCACAGGGTCCTGTTCTAATTTTATTCAATAACTGAGCAAAATCAAGCATTCATTTATAAATTTATCAGACATGTGGATTTTCTCTATCAGAAACTTACTGGGACACTTTGCCCACTTTTCTGTCAAGTTGTCTGTGCCCCTGTTGATGTGAGTGCTCTTTTATATAACAGGATCTTTTAGCAGAAGTCTTACTCGTACTGCCTCCTTCCTGTGTGTCTTTTTGTGTGGGGTGATTTGCTTCTCAGAACACTTTCAACGCCACCAGTCAGATTTAGGACTCTTCCCTGTTGTTCTTTCAGGCATATCTATACCATGCCGAGACTGTTCTTTCAGAAACTGTTTTCCTTTAATGCCCTTTAAGGCTTAGATACAGAATGTCACTCAGAAGTCCCATGTGTCCGGAGGCTGGGCTTTTGGAAAGCAATTGGCTCTGGGGGATGCTGTACTCATTTAGGGGGGTGACCCACCGACAGATGCAGAGCTGAATGTGCTGTGGGGAGCCGGGATCTGCTTGGAAGAGGTGGTTGCTGGGGTGTGAGCTGGAAGGGTGCATCTCTCTCCCTGGCTCCTCCCTTCGCTTTCTGCCCCCTGCTTGGGCACCTTTTCTCCCTGTATCCATCTGCCATCCTTTCTCCTTGGAGTCAGCCGATCGTGAACTGGAACTGTGAACCAAAATAAATCTGCTTTCCTTTAAATTGTGGGTGTTGGATATTGTCAGAGACAAGGAAAGTGATGAAGATGATACTTTTTTTGCATTAAAATGTTAGACTTTTAGGGGCTGGGGATTTAGCTCAGCGGCATAAGCGCCTGCCTTGCAAGCAGGCAGTCATGAGTTTGATTCCCAGTACCGATAAAAAAAATGTTAGACTTTTATGGAATGAATTTTGTTCTAAGGTGAAACCTAAGTTTTGTTTGTGTTTTCTGTGTGACCAGTTTCCCCCCCAGTGCCATTTCCTCTTGAGAATGCTGGAAACTCCTCTCTGTCATTCCCTGCATGAACAAGTGGGCCTGTTTCTGGGTTCTCTCTTCTGTCCTACTGACCTGCTGCATGTGTTCTCTGTCAGGGCCCGGTAATTAATCACTGTGTCTTTAGAATGTTGCTTAATATCTGGAACGCCGGTCCCCACACATACCCCTTTTTCTTTAAGAATTTATTGATTATCTGTCCAGGAGATTTATTTTCCTTTCCTACTTCTTTCAAGGTGCACATGGATATCTCTGTAGGCAGTCTGTCAGTTCTGACTTACTCTGGCATTTTCAGTGCCCCTAGCTTTTCTGCAGGTGACCTACATTTCCCTCGGGCCTCAGCCTTCTGCAGGGTGCCTCGTCAGAAGTGCTCCCCAGCTAGACTTTCCCCTGCTCTGCCTGCCTAGGTGCATGTGGTCCAGCCTGAGTATCCACCATTCCCTTCCTGTTCTGCATTGATTTTGCATCTTTTCTTCAAACAATCCTTAAACAGCCCCAGGGGTCTGGGGTGCAGGGGTACAGATGGGGAGAGACTGCTTGCTATGGGATATGACTTTTCTTTGTGGAGTGATGGAAATCTGGATTCAAGCAGTGGTAATTGCACAAGCTTTGGGATAAAATAAAGCCCACCAAACTCCTCTGAGGAATGAATTTTATAGGGTGTGACTATGTCACAAACAACCTAAAACAAACCCAAATAAGAAGCAGCAGTAAGGACCAGGGGCTACACCTAGGGCCTTGGGGGCTGCTGCAGAAAGCACACTGCTTTGCAGGAGGGATGATTTTTTTTTGTCTAATCTTTTTTCTTTCTTTTTCTTTTTCTTTTTTTGTCTTTTTGAGACAGGGTCTCTCTATACAGTTCAGGCTGGCCTTGAGCTTACTTTGTAGCCTAGGCTGGTCTTGAACTTGCAACAATCCTCCTGCCTCAGCCTCCCAAGTGCTGGGATTACAGGTGTAGGCCACCATACCTGGCTTAATCTTTTTTCTTGATTAGTGCAATTCGTTTTGCAAAAGAGTTGGACATTTCTTGGTCCTGCTGCCAGTACCTGCAGCTGCTCCTTGTGGAAGCATTGCCCAGTGTCTCCTTCCCTTTAGTCCTTGGTGACCAGATCTCTGGTGTTCTCAGAGGTGCCTGTCTGTCCAGGTGGAGCCCACAGACCCAGTGAAGTGCCCTGCATTTGCCCCCTGCGCGCCCTTGCCTGGGAAGCTTTTCTAATGTCTCTGGTGTCTCCATTTAACCGACTTATGATCCTAATTGAATGTGTCCTGGTCATGTACAGGCTACTTAAACTGCTCTGCTCTCATTCTCTGCAGACAGAGCCTGAGGCTTCCTTTATAAAGTATTTAAGGTCAGCCAGGAGCCGGAGCCACATGAGAGATAGCAGGGCAGGCAGCTGGTTGTCACCGGGCAAGCATCCTGTGCTTATCAAGGAATGGTGGCCTCTCTGGGCACCTTTAGCTCTGTGAAGGGGCATGTCTTCAAGCACTCTTTTCTCTGATGGCCAGTTGTGCTCTGAGAACCTCCTGGCCCTTGCATGAAAGTGGCTGTGGGGCACAGGTGAGAACCTCCTGGCCCTTGCATGAAAGTGGCTGTGGGGCACAGGTGAGAACCTCCTGGCCCTTGCATGAAAGTGGCTGTGGGGCACAGGTGAGGGAGTCCCTTGCACACTAGACACTTGCTGCCATTTGGGTAAGGCCAGCGGACCAGGGTGAAAAATAGGGAGGTAGGCTTGCCTGAGTGACAGCCATGAGACTGGACCGGAAGGGCTGTGTGCCAAGGATATGGTCCATTTTTACTGTTTGAGCCTCAAAAGTACCCTGTGAGATGGGTACAGTGGGAGCCATGGCAGTTTCTTAGGCTTTACGGATTAGAGGAATCACCTCAGACCTCAGGTAGCAAGATTTTCATGTCTGCTTTTCCCTAAAGAGTCATGAGATGGAGTTTGAGCCCATGGAGCCCTGGAACTGCATGGAAAGTAAGGGTGCTCTGCTTCTGGGTCGCATCGGTGGGCTTGCCACCCCTCTCAGAGTGGGAAGATGTGGCTTCCACTGGATCTTGTCTGCATCTTTTCTTGAAGCTTCAGAAGCTTTGGAGCCATAGCCCATGCTCAGAACCTGAAGTTAGGACTCAGCAGGAGGCCTGGAGTTCCAAGGGGCTTTCTGTGAGCCACTTCTTTGGCCAGAGCTTAAGCCACCAGACTGTCTATGGGCCAAGTTCAACTCCAAGGTAGGTCCCACCCCCATAAATATTAGGGTTTAACCCAGGGCCTTATGCATTGTTGCGCATGTTAAGCAGGAGCTCTACCATTGAGCTGCATCCTCAGCCCTCAAGTAGGTGTTTTTTTTTTTTTTTTTTTTTCCTTTTTGGGTTAGTTGGTATGATGTAGACCTCTATAGGGTTTATCTTTTTCAAAAAATGAATTGCCAACATTTAAAAGTCAAGAGGTTTTATCCAAAAACCCAGAGTTCCAGCTTAGCTAGAAACGCCAGCTCCTCTAATCCTGGAATGGAGCTACCTGGGCAGTGGCTGGCTGAGAGAGCCGCAGTGACCTTCTCAGGTGTGTTCTAGGCCTTGCAGTTACCACAGGTCACCCCCCATCCCCCTTTCATCTTGTTTCTCTGATTCTAAGGCTGAAGGTCGTAGTCCTTACCATGTACCTGCAGGGTCATCTTCCTTTACCTCCATCACTCATGGACATGACCCTGCCTCCTGGAGTCATTTATCAGGAGACGAGGTCCACCCAATTTCAACTGTCCAGATGAATTCTGTCACTGGAGTGCAAGTCTGCTGCTCACCTTTCAAGGCCTGGTTGAAGTACTGTGTTCTGAAGTCGGCTCAGGGTTCTCAGCCTGGGGCCTGTACTTCTGTTATGTTCAGAAGGAGGCCAGGCCTCTGTTCAAACAGTATCTGACTCAAAGGACCTTTCTGTGGTGACAGGAGTCACGTTGTCATTGTCCCTGCTGCACGGCAGTGCTGTGCTGGCTGTCAGTAAATGTTTGCTGAATCAGATTAGACTAATTATTTGGCTACTATGTATTGTTAAGTGTGATGGAGATGATTCCCTGGAACATGAAATGAGGTTGCTTTTTATTATTTCCCAGAATTTCCAGATCTAGAATGATTTGGTTTTGGATTTTTGTATATGCGACCCATCACTTTGAAGTCTCTGCTGTGTTGGAGGCTTGAGTCTTCTCTGCAGTCAGTGGCTCATGGGAAAGGGACAGGATCACGCTTGTCCATTTGTGTGCTGGTGGACCAAACAGGCCCCAGACCCTCTGCATTTTGACTGTAGCAGGTATTTGCTGACCTTCTAACAGCTACCATGCATCTGTAACTTGTGTAGTCATGACTGAGAACAAAGCAGCTTTTAGCATTTGAAGGCAAGGCTTTGAATCCAAACGCTTGTATCTGATTTCAAGAAAAAAACCTGAAATTACTAAGAGTTTAAAAATGGTCTCTCCTAAAGATATAGTCCCATTGTCCTAATAATAGACAGTGGAGCTCAGGTGGACAAACTGCTGGTAGCTAAGCCTGGCCGGACTCAGCCAGGCCTTTCTGTTCAATGTGAGAACATGTGCAAGGCAGCCACTGTCCCGGCCAGCAGGAAATGGCTCCTTGATCATCAGAATCCAGGGGATGCAAGCTCCCTCCCTGGAAGACTACTGAACTTTGGTCATGCAACTGCAAGCTACATATGACTTTACCACAAAAAATAACCATGCAGACTTTTTTTGATGTGGAAAGATGTTCATAAGAGCTAATTGAATAAAGCAGATGTAGAGAAGTAAGTATCCCATACGGAAGTCCCACTTGTACAAAATCATATATGCACACACGCACATATGTATAAACTCACAAGGGAAAATAACAGTGATGATTATCTGAGTGATGGGCTTTGGATAATTTCGCCTGCTTTCCTTTTGCTTATCTTAATTTCCCCTAATTCTCTCAGTGGCCATGTCTCACTACTGTCAGAGGGAGTCGTCACAGGGAGGAGGATGTATATGTATATGCCTGGCCCACTTAGGTGCTGGCTGCTGGGCTCCCACAGTGAGGAGCTGTGTAAAGAGGACGTCATTTTGGCTTATGTGTAAAGTCTGCCACACACAGAACTGGGGGTGAGATGAAGCCACCGATAGAGAAACGGTTTTCATTTCTAGAGTGGCTCAGCAGCTCTGTGGTATGGGTAAAAGTGTGGGGTTCAGACTGGAGCTGTCAGCCACCGGATATTAGCTGCGTGGGTGCAGGCCCGGGGCTTCCTTTCAGCCGCTGTAATCAGCGCGGTGGTGGCCATGATTATTAGTTTTTCGAACATGTGACTGTTATTGGTACTGATAAGGTGTCCTTTTCATAAATCCACAGGCATTGCTTTCTTGCCGGCAAGTATCTCTTATCTCATTGGAACCAATATTTTTGGGATACTTGCACACAAAATGGGGAGGTAAGATGAAATGAATTCAGCATTCATTCTGTTATACTAATGATAATGTAGTTCTTTAAACATATTTGAAGTATTTCTCCCTTAAATGCTCTCAGTATTGTTTTTACTTCCATTGAAAATTTGGACAGGGAAAGAAAATCCCGTAAGTGTTCACTTACTGATGTGTCTTTTCTCTTGCTAGGTGGCTCTGTGCTCTTATAGGAATGATCATAGTGGGAGTCAGCATTTTGTGCGTGAGTAAATGGCAGTATTTGCTAAGTAGGAACAATTTGGGATGAAAACCTGTTTTCCCAAGGCTTACCAAGCAATATTCTACAACACTTTGAGTTTGTTGATATTTTAGTTTTCTTGTGTCTTTCATTTTATCCTGGCACCTTCTAGCAATCTTAAGTATCTTTGGACAAGATTCTCCAGAATGTATCTCCAGATGTATTTTTATGTCAGAAATTATTTAAAATCTTTTATTACATAATTTACTTTTGATGCGACTAAGCCCAAGATAGTTGCAGGGTGTTCTTCACAGTTAAACATCTTCAACCAGCAGCCAGTACCTGTCCCAAACTGAGGCTCCTTCTCTTCATCAAAAATGGAGGGTGTTCTGGGCTGACCTTTCACAGATGGCAGGTTTCATGGTAGTTAAGCTTGCTCTTCAAAAAATTACAAAGGCAGACCCTACCCTTCCTCTGCCCGTTTTCCTCCAGAAGGGGACAGTTGTACTAGGATCCCCTCCCCCCAGAGAAGCCTCACAGATTTGAAAGAGATTACTCATGATTATTTAGAGTTAGATATCTTTTTATTTCTTTTTGTAGATTCCTTTTGCAAAGAACATTTATGGGCTCATCGCACCCAACTTTGGAGTTGGTTTTGCAATTGGTAAGTCCCAGGAGCCTGATGTCTACATGGGAAACTTCGAAAGAAGTTCTCCTTTAGGGGAGATTTTCTTTTCCTCTGCTATGGTAAATAGAATGTAGTTACTTGTCCCAGATTTTTAGGAGCTTGAACAGAGGCTACCAGCCGCTTAGGTCAGTGGCAGCCTATTGATCACCTACATAAAAATACTTGCTTCCACATGCTCTTCACTTATTTCCTGAAAAGCAGTGTATTCCAAAATCTGATATTTATAGAAGCAGGCTAATGTAGTGCTGAGATGCTTGGGCGAATGGTTCTTCCTCATGTGAAAGTCATTTTCCCAGGCTAGTACAGAATAGGCAATCAGCGAATACTGTTTGAAAGAAAGACATTTTCCTTATCCACATGCCTCTGCTACCTATGGAGGGGAGGGACATTAACATTTAAGTTTTTCACTGTGTTCGAAGGCTTTGGCTGTACAGCCAGCCCTCAGCACTCTTTATAAATGGGAAGCAGTGTTTGGAGAAACTAGGCATGACTATGTTCACTCTGCCAGTGATTTGAACCCGGCACTCTGAACATACCTGCTTATTCATTATGCTACCTGCCCTAGCTGTTCAGACCAGAGATTCTAGTAGTGGTTTCTGTCATTGGTTTTAGCCAATTAAATGCACTCAGGGCTTTGGGTTTATTTTCCTGAATAGGGCCAGACAATCTCCGAGACTCCTTTTTGTGTTCTGGTTCTCTGATCCTACTAACATTTTCCACATTAGTAATTCTCATGATCTAATTTGAGGCCAGTGTGGAAGGGGCTGGAAGAGATGTGTAGGGTGCCAAGTGACAAGTGGGTGAGAAAATGGTGAATCAGGGGAGCACCACCAGGAAGACTGCCAGGAACCCACAAAGCCAGCAGCCTGCTGAATCTGAAGAACAGCAAGATGAGTTGCTAGAGGACTGGAGACCCTCACCCGCTCCACAGGCCACTCAACAGTGGAGGACAAGGCAAGGCAGAGCAGAGCAAATGGGAGCCTAACAAGGCAGCAGGATGTCATCTCGGGGTCTCCCCAATCCCCAGAGCCCTTCTGCCAGCTCTCACAGAAAGCCTTGCTATCACGAGTCTGCCACAAAACTTGCAGCCGGTGATGACAAAGAGGACAGGCTGGCAGGGCAGTGAGCTTAGGATGCAGTTCGGTGCTTGGTTTACATCAGTCTCCTGTGCTCTGTGACCCCGAATACCTGCAGGGATGGTGGATTCATCGATGATGCCCATCATGGGCTACCTCGTGGACCTGCGGCACGTGTCGGTCTATGGGAGTGTCTACGCCATCGCAGATGTGGCATTTTGTATGGGGTACGCCATAGGTAAGAACATTGGCTTTCAAAGCAACATTTTACCTCAAGACAGGACAGATGCTATGTCCTGAAAAGTAATGAAGCTTGTGTTTTCTGTTGACAACACATTTGGAAAGAGCTTTATCTAATTCTGTATTTCTCAAAAGGTCCTTCGGCTGGCGGTGCCATTGCGAAGACAATTGGCTTTCCATGGCTGATGACAATTATCGGGATCATTGACATTCTTTTTGCTCCTCTTTGCTTTTTTCTGCGAAGTCCACCTGCCAAGGAAGAAAAAATGGTAAGAAAGATTTAGGATGCAATGAAGTGTTTCTTGATTATTTTAGTAGGATCAGCTGGGTAATTTTCTTTTTGGCTCAATATTGGAATATGTTTCTGTTCTTTTTGGGCAGAAGCCTCCAGACATAAATGATGAGAGTATCCATTTAATTTTTAGCAAATAGGGCAGTTACCTGTTTTTACTACCTTCACAGTAGTCTCATGCATTGCTTTTAAACTTGGAGGAATGGAATTATTTTGGTTCATAGATTGGCATCAGAGTACTTCTTCTTTGTCAACGGGGATAGGTTATTTTAATTTTCTATGGTTATTGCAAATCTCAGGCATCATTTCTCTGCTTCTCAAGATCAGATGTTTGTAGGTCCGTTTGCTTTTCTTTTCACCCTTCCTGCATTCAGTAATGGTTGGTGTCTTGGTCCTCACTGCATGTAGGATTTTGGAGCTGGTTTTATATCTTTATGGGAAACCATCATTCACACACCCTGGGGCACACACATGTGCATGTTAACCTTTAAATTCATAACTGCACAACCAGAACTATAGCCATAGGCAAGACAGAATAAAGTGTTTCTCTTTTGAACAGGTTCAAACCTGTTGATTCTAAAGTGAATTTTGACATGCATGAATCATTTTACCATTTCCTAGACCTAGCCAAAGGAGTTGCAGTGTTTCCGCTCATGGTTCATCCTTGGTAGAGTGGTGTTGCCGATTTTCTTAAGCATATACTTGTCCACCTGACAGGAGAGTGCTGTGGATGAAGGATGAATGAGACGAGCAAGGGGGAATGGTACTGGTGTGTGAACAGATGGAAGGCTTGCTCGTGGGTCTCTTAGAAGCACATCACAAGTGCTGTCTGACAGCTGACCTGAAAGGTCTTAATGCTTGGTATTTCCTGAACTGCCCAGCAAAGGTTGGTTTTTCTCTAAAAGTGAGTTTAAAGATAGATTATAAATACACATAACCACCTGAAAATGCTTGCCTCCCAGGGAATGTTCAGGATTTGGTGGAGAGGAATAGCAGAAGGGCCAGTACCATCCTGGCAGCTGCTGCTCCAGCTCCCTCCCTACACAGGGCCATGTGAGTCTGTTTCCTCCCATGGAGGTGCTGGGTGGATTAAATGTCAGACTCCCAATGAGGTGGTTGTTTGGCCCATGTCCCATTTAGTAAATTCATGACCCTCTCCGGTATCACCCATTTGTCCTCCCTGCTTTATCAGTGCTCTGTCCACCCAGCAGCAGCTGAATTTCCTCCATCTCTCTGCAACACAAGAGCTTCCTTTTTGCTGTCCAGAAGCCAGGACTGCTGGCCTAGCATCTCACCAAGGCAGCAGATGCTGGGGGTGGAGGGGTCCTCTCTCTAGGTGGTGGGCAGCATGGTGACTTATCAGAGGTAATGGAGGACATGAATGCGATCAGAGGATGACCAGGGTGCCACTTGTCCAGCCAGCTACCATGTTGCACAAAATGACAGAAGGCCTCTTTCTCCATTTACACCAGTGCTTCTTTCTTTTAAAAAATGCTGAAGGAAGTGGAAGAGACAGTCCTGAAAGGCAGAGGCAGAATTACAGGTTTCCAGAAAGCCGCTTTCTGTAAAATGTCACATCCTTAACAGGTGTCTAGAAAGATAAATCATTGAAGTTTTGAGAAAATGCTTGTTGCCCATAATTGCTGCCTGTAATTGAAGGATGCCATTTAACTGGCGTAATGGCAACACTGGAGGGTGGGAACCAGCTGCTGCTGCCTGCTTGCTGTCCAGGCAGAGCAGGAAGAAAGCCGGAGGAAGCCAGTGGCATCTAATGAGGCATGTGGGCAGGGCAGCGCATGCCACGGAGGAGAATAGATTCCTGCACTTGAGACATCAACAGACAAGCAGTGGTGCTTGAGAATAGCAGGGGCCAAGTGGGATTGTGAAAGCCAGGCTTGCACCCCTGAGCAAAGAGTTCTTTGATTAGGAGCATCCTGGTAATGTGGTGTTTGCTCTTCAGCTGTCTGATATGTAAGACTTGATGCTGTTTTCATGAATCACAAACCAAGGAATCATTAGTCTGTGAGCACTTGAGTGTTGCTTCTATTTGGTTTACTGGATTTCTGCTTTATAATAATCGGGTATCAATAGAGACAGAGAAAAACTCCTTTTTATTCAAATTCCCCTGCAAGTATAAGGAAGACCAACTCTGCTTTTTGAGGAAAAGTATTCCAGTGGTAAGACAATTTATAGTGCAGCCATTAACCCTCAAAATACTGAGCTAATAGCTTTTAGTGGGGCTCTTCCTTTTCCAGGTTGAAGAACTATTTTTAAAGCTAGGGAATATTTCTTAGTCTTGAGACTAAGACTTGCAGAGCAGGAAAAGAGGATCACAGCTTCTTTTTACTGGATGTACTGATGTACTGTGATGCTGATTTTGTGAGATCAATAGCGTGGCCAGAGGTCCCGAAGACCAGACACATTATTATATCCATTTACATACTACATATTATAATCCACTTGTAGACATTTTTCTCTTTGTGATTTCTCAGTTTTACCACCCAAGGTTATTGTGAAGTTGAGGAATTTCATCTAAAATGTACCCCATGTTCTCAGCGTGATAAATGTCAGAGGCATTATCAGACTTGGTGTTGAGCTCTGCACATGTTCAGGAGTGATTAGAAGTGTTTACTAGTTGAGTGCGCTTTGAAAACAAAGTGTCACTTTTTTTTTAAGTCACCCTATGTCTTAATTTTCAGTAACAAAAGAGGGCATGAGACTTCTATGTTTCTCAGTGTTTTTAAAATATCATACAAGGGATGACTGAGAAATACTGAATATTTAAATTAAAAAATGATCACAGTAAAAAACTATCATTAATCCTCCTCAAAATACTCTTCCTTACTTCACTTACCCTATCGTTCTGGCCACTTCCTGCAACAATTCTCGAAGTTTTCTTTCATGTCTTTACAAGGTTGATAAAGATTCAGTGACTGCACCCAGCAGACACACAGGCTCATGAAGTGTGCGCTTGCACATCTTATTTGCTGGACCTGGCACGGTGTGGCTTCTGGCTTTTGCTTAAAGTCAGAATGATCACAAAAGGTACATGTTTTGAATCAATTCAGAACTCTAGGGAGCTACAACAGTGCATCTAAATACATGAACAGAGAATTTCCAGAACTACTTCAGAAAGCTGCAAGAATGATGGGATAGTGTGTTCAAAATGAGGGGGATCATGGCAATGTTCCCTATAATAAAATTTTTATGAACTCTTAAGTTGTACCATATACATGTGAACTACAGTATGACAGCCAGGATCTGGGGAGAAGTCTAGGTATCACCTTAAAGCAAAGATAAAGGCTCCGGATGGTTCAGGAAACTAAGGGGCATGGCGATATAGTAAAAATACCCTTAAGGGCAGTCTACATAGCTAGACAAGCGACAGCCCTCCTCACATGGCCTCACGAAGTACAGTGGCAATAAAATCTGTAAACAGAAGTTGGACCGATGATCTCCAGGGTCCTCTCCCCTACCCCATTTTCAAAATTGCAAGTATAACTCCTTATAAATCTAACATACCCTTGTTCCCACTATGGAGTACAAATTTCCAGAATTGACGCCCCCCTCCCCCAACAGGTACAATGAAAATACTGCAGCAACTCCAGGTATTCTAGGCAGGCTTCAGATAGCAGCTATTATTTGAAAGTTACAGCGCTTTCAAATTAGTAATCCTTTAGAATAGGTTAAAACTGTCTTTATAAAACAAGGTAATCCACTTGTAATTTTCTCTTATAGGCTATTCTCATGGATCACAACTGCCCCATGAAAACAAAAATGTACACTCAGAATAATACCCAATCATATCCAATAGATGAAGAATCTGAAAGTGACTGAAACGCTCAAAAATCATTCGTGTCTGACTGTGTAAAAGTGTTTCCCATGAAATGACTCATCGGAGCTGTGTTAGTCATACCACCCATTCCTGGCGAAAGCGTACAACAACCAAAGGTTATTGTTTCTTTTCCATGGTTATGATCCACTGCCAACAGCCTTATAAAGAAAAAGAAGCTTTTCTAGGGGTTTGTATAAATAGTGTTGAAAACTTTATTTTATGTATTTGATTTTATTAAATATCATACAATATATTTTGAAGAAATACTGTAAATCTATAAATATTTGAATCCAAATCAAATATAATTTTTTAACTTAAATTCATGAACACTTGGACAAAAATATATTTTTTCTGAATATTGGTAATGAGTGATAAAGCACACATTATCTGAGGCTCTTCCAACAAGGAGCTAGAAAGAAATCTGAAAAACAGAATCACATAAGACGGCACATCATGTAGCAACCCAGAATGAGTGTTATTTAACTTGTAATTACTATCAATATATTTATGAGTTCAAAGCTAGTTCTCTCAAGGGCAGAGGGCAAGACCATGGGTCAGTCATCTTTTGGATTTGTCTACAAATATTCACTGGCATCAGTTTTCCATGTAGTCACCTACCTGGAAAGGGACAGTGGTAAATTACATGTTTACATGTCATGTTTGGCAGCAAACATTAAAACCAGCAAGAGGAAAACAGTACATGTTCCGAAAGCAGACAAAAGTACCCAATGTACAGATATGGTAAGTTTTCCCTCTAGGATGTCCATCTGGTCATTTAACTGGATGAAAACTGTGTATGTATCTTGTACTGTCCAGTTTAAGGGTGGTAAAGTTTATCGACACATAGTTCAAGATTTAGGAAAAAAGTTTACAAAAGCTATTGTAACTTGAAGAAATCAGAGCATAACCTGACTCGTCTGCAGGTCATCCAAGTGTTTTTTTCTAGAGCTCTGTTAATTTTGGGTTGTCTGAAACTATTATTTTCTAAACTCCTGAAAGTCTTTCACATAAATGTGAAAACAAATTTTAAACAAGAATGAAAAGGTCTTAATCATACTAGCAAAACAGGTAAAAATCACAGGTGATCAGGACACATCCCTTTTCCAGGCAGAAGAGAAAAACCAAACATCTGAACATGTTACTGTATCATCTGTGTGTTGGGTAGTGTAGTTTTTCCAGGCATGTCAACATTGATGTCTTCATTGTACCAGCAAATACTGTTAATAAAAACTGTCAGTTTACATTGTTTTGTGTGAGATATGACTGAAATGTGAATAGTGGAATATGTCTTTTTAAATAACATTTAATTCTGCAGTTCCAGAGTCATAAGAAATTATCTGATGTCAATTTTGTTAAGCTAAAACTGTGTTTGTATTAACTTGGCCATCAAGGAGCTGAGAATTTTAGAACGACTCCTCAGTCTTAGTTGACTATTACGGAAAGTGATTAGCTTTGCTTTGTGAAGGGACTTCTTTTGCTTTATGAAGGCTTTCTGCGATTTCTGAGTGCAGTGTTTAAGGCAAACAAGCTTCCTACTAACAACTGGACAATTATGAAAGATGCTCTAGAACCCTTACATGGCTAAAATAGAAAAGGCAGGATTGTTTTTACTTCTGTCTACAAGGTCTTCAAAAGATGTGCTACCAATTAGAGACCGTTTGTGGTTCTGCCTGCCCTTAATACTGTACAATTTTTATTTTTGCCTTTAAAACTTCAGCTTCTGAAGAATGACTGGCAAAGGCATTGATTGCTAATGATTGATCCCTAAGATTTTTGATAAATGAACTTTTCAGAACTGTTTGGGGAGCAAGTTACGTTGTATCTGAGGGAGAAGAATGGTAAGGTCTTTTATAGGCTAACATTCTAGGTTAGCAAGACTGAAAATTTTAAAATTATGTGTCAAAACAAAGAACATACAGCACTCTAAACATTTATTTTTTGAACAGAGGTGGCTCTGTTTTCCCCTGGAAGCAAAACACAAAGACTTTGAGGAGGTAGCAATGCGTATTACCTTGCTTTCAAATGCTAAGTGTATCTGTTCTAGCCATGTTTTAGCTTGTTTACTTAATAAACCTTAAGAACATTGTCCTGTGCCTATCTGTATTCTTTCATAAAACAACTGTTGTTTGAATGAAATACACAAGGTATCATTTTGCCTGAATGTTTTAAAAAAAATTAGAAGCTATTCTGTGCTGGTAGGCCTCAGGCAAGTCACTGGAGGCTAGTATGAATCATACATTTTGGCTTTCTACATTTTGATTAAACTCTTACAGTAAAAGACACACTACTATTAATTCCCTTCAGAACATTCTCCCTGGCTTTGAACACATCCCATCGTTCTTGCCACCTTCTGAAACCGCTGTCAGACCTTTCCCGTGAGTCTATTTAATTGTGCTGTTGTGGATGCTTCAATGTCCTAAGTCAATTCAAAACATTCACCTGTTATGGCCATTTCAGCTGGGGAGGAGCCAGCAGCTACCCAGTGGGTGAGAACACATCACAGGGCATTTACAAGCCTCTCCTTCTTCTGGATGACACTCAGTGGCAACAGTCACCATTATTATTTTTTTTTTCTTGCCACATTTCATAAAGACACAGAAGAGAACTTCCAGAACTACTTCAGAAAGTGGTAAGGATGACAGGATAAGTGTGTTCAAAGTTAGGAAAAGGATTTCAAGGGGGGGTTAATGACAGTGTGTTTTAACAAAAAACTGAAATATTCATTGTATTTATCACCCTAACATGTCAATATGGAAAGTTATCCTTGACTCTCTTAACTTACTGATTGCTATGAGTAAGTAACTGTATCCAATGAGGACAACTAAAATGTCCAGTAGGGCATGGAAGCTCTGGAAGACCTTTAAAAGTAGGGGCAATTGAAATGGTATGTGTGTGCACAGCTTCTAGAGCGAATGGTGTAATTGTACACAATTTTAATTAGATGTTAGTGGACAGCTGGGGCTCAGAAAGGATGAGGGAATCTCTGCTCTTCTTTTTGGTAAGCAAAATTACTATTTTAATTTAGAAATCAGAACAACATGTTTTTAAATTAAAGAGATTTAAAATTTACTTCTGGAGACCTACATTTTATTCTTTATCTTACTATAAGTAACAGCGAGATATTTTCCAATTGCCTTTTAAAAAATTTATGTGTAAGTTTAAAATGTGCAATTATATTCCTTGGGTTGTATTCTTTTTTACTTGAATTACAAAATAACATTTCAACTAGTTATGATATTTAAGAATATGACACTTGATTTTAAGAAATGTAGTGTATTATGATTGCAAAATACTCAAAATGTTGCTCATTTTCCCTAATACAGTCAATTATGTAAAAAAAGAAAGTACATCTTAAATAGTCTTAATTACAACAAAAGCAGATACATAAATATACAACAATTGTAAAATTAACTTTGCAATTTTGTTTAGCAAAAGTGGACTTTGTTAGCTTGTTTGCACGACTAAATTACACCAGACAATAATTTCAGAGATACTGCAGTCAACTTTTTTAAAGATGTCATCAAATGAAGATAACTGTTTTTGTGTAGTAGTCTTTATTATCTTTAAGCTATTGATAACATAGCATGGCAGCAAGATTACATCAGTAATGTAATACAATACAAGTTTTGCCATTGAAGCCTACACTTCACACTACTCTAGGCTGTTTGCAGTGTAGCCTCCTTACGCTAAAGTACAACCATGATGCCTCTACTGCTTCAGCTAGCAGATAGAAAAATACTGTGCTACATCAAGGTGGTATTTTACAAATATCATTAGCAGCATTACTGAGCTTTCCATAACTGTGGTTCTAGAGTTAAATACTTTAAAACATGAGTAGATTCTTATGAGACCAAAGTTTTGCATTATTTCTACAGCTCTTTCAAATGACTCGGTTTCAGGAAGATGCTTTGGTACCATGGTTTAACCCAGGCACACCTGCCAATTATAGACACTCTACCTCCCAGGTTAACAATGGCAAGGTACTGTTTACAAGATGACACATGGTTATACACTGGGCAGACTGTTTAAGTAGATGCTGTAGAACATTTTAGCTTTCAGGGAGTTTGGTGTGGAAAGCCTTCAATACCAGTGTTCTGTTAAAATGTGAGCATGCTTAAATAAACAATGAGCAGGGGGGTATCCAGATATATTTCTGTTATAAACCTGATCTCCCTAGAAGGTATTTATTGACCTAATATTTCACTTAATAAAATAGCATGGGAATGAAAGTTGGCTACTTGTGTAAAATTGGAATAACTTCTGCCTGCAAAGATGTTTTTCTTTGTATAGCTTTTATGTTCAAAGCCCTTGTGCAGTTATGCTACTATTTTCCTCGTAACAATCCTGTGAGGTAGTTAGAGGAAGTAGTACCACCCTCACGCTGGAGATGGGGAACCACTGCAGTGAGCTCTCTCTCGGTGACTTGCCTGTCGGTGGTCACGGAGTTCATTAATGGAAGAGCTCCTGAATGGAGTCCGGACTACAGGCTGGGCACAGTGTTACTGCTCTTCTCTGCCTTTTCCTGCCAGCCATCAAAGCTGTGCAATCTACTCTTAAACTCATGCCAATTTACGTATCAAGTTAGCAGAGCCATTTCCTATTAAAGGAAAAAATGTATACAGATTTATTTTGAGGCAAGTTAACAGGCTCACACTTTTAAGGTATAACAATAACAGGTCAAGCTTACGTATTTTCCCTCAGTCATGTGTCACTGGCATCCATAGATGGATCCAATATTGGAGTAGCTCTTTTCAGAGAACTGGTTCTCAAGTCCTATGTAATATTGTTATTTCTTTTACTTTTAATGAGTGAAGACATTCTGAACTATGGAAGCATTCAGAATGATTACCATTCCTTTAAGGCTATAAAAACCCCAGATGAAGCAATAAATATATTTTACATGATCCCTCTCATTTACAACATATTCCTATGTGAAAATGTTTTTAAAACAAAGCTAGTTATCAACACCATCATTTTAAGAACAATTCGCTGAAACTTTAAATATCCTTGTACATGCTTTACTTCCTATGAGAAAACTAAAGATGAAAAAGAGCATGAATGCTTATTAGAACTTCTACTTAAACGGAAAGCACTGACATTCTGAAAGATATTTCAAAAATCCTACTGTCTACTGTTTTGCAGTAATTAAATGTTGTTACCCCTTCTGTAAGATTCTTGACCAAATGTTATTTAATATTCCCTGTTACATTTTGTTTTTCAGTGTAAGTTCATCAAATCACTATTTGTAATGTATTTCAGGTTCACAAAAGCTTTAGAAAAAAATTTCACAGAAGCATAGAAAGCAAGCAACATATGTAAAAATGTTTTTCTTTTTTTTTTTAAACTAAATCAGCATAATAGATTAAAGCTGTAGCATCTGGTTTCATTTTACATTTGGCAAAACAAAAAACCCTCAAAATCTCAAAATATAACACAAAAGATCCACAACTTATTCCCTCAAAGATTGATTTTGTCAATTTGGGCATGCAGCAAATTTGTTATTACAACCCTAATGGAAATAAAAGCATTTCAAGGATCTGGACTGTATCCTATTTAAGATTAATTCAAAAAGAACAGGAAGAAAAAGTAACAGTGAGACATCACATACACATAAACATGAAAAGTTAGCTTACATAATTACATAATTAGAAAAAGTTAAAAATAAATTAGTAAAAATAAATTCCCCAGTATAAATCCAAAAAGGCATAGCTATAAATGCAATCTGAAACAACTGATTTAGTGAGCTGGTCATGTTTTTGCTGGAAAACTTTGTTCATTCTTTCTTACACAAGCAAATAACTGGAGAAGCAGGCATTACAAGAGAACTGAAATGTAGTTCCATTCGTGATAAGTTAGATGCATCTTTCTCCCAATCATTTCGAAGTTTAAATAGTAGGTCCATTACACAGACTCAGACGGGCCAAATAAGTCATCTGAGATGCTGCTGAATGGCTGAGAGTCTATCAATTGGCTGATTTCACTATCAAGGTCTTCTTCTGCATCATCTGCATATTTGCTTATTTTTTTGGAGTGCTGGTCTAAAGACAGACTTTCTAAAGTTTCAATATCTTCAATGCCTGCCCTGTAGTGGATCATTAGAAGTGTTAGAGCTTGTAGTCGTTCACCTGACTTAATCAAAGCAGCAGATAGCAGTGCTTTTTTCCTTGTATCAGTTGTTTCTTTTTCTTCTCTAGCAAGGGAATTGTTGTGTTCCAACTCCTGATCAATTTCATTCTGTAGTTTATCCAACATAAATTCTAGCTTCTGGATCCTTTCCTCTGTAGGCAAGCCCCGGTACAGATCACGGCCAATTTCCTTAACGGCAATAAAAACACTATCATCCAGCCCACCTTCCTTTCTCACTAACTTTATTCCTGCGTTGTTGCCCCGTTTGGAAGGACTGTTTGGACCACAGACTTCTGTGTCACTGCCTTCATTGTCTGATGTGTTGGGTGTGTGTTTTGGTGAGGGCTCTACAAGATCAGTTCCAGGTTCAGAAAAGCGACTTTTAGAGACTGGACGCAAATTTAGCAAACGAGAGCTAGTATTGATAATGTGCCGTGTCAAACCTGTTGTTTTATTGACTGACTTGTTAGTTTCAGCATCAACACGAGGAGGTACGCCTATGAGGGGCTCCTGACCTTCCAGCCTCAGATTTTTTAGAATCCGGTCTGTCCGCCTCTCAGATGCTCCACAAAGAGGAGTCTCAGCTAGACATTTTTCTTGACATTTTTTATGGCAAACATAAGCACACAACATACATTGGGAGGCAGCTTTTGTCCAAACTTTTTTCTTACAGTAATCGCACCACGTTGGGTTTTGGAACTGAGTGTCCTGGAAACTATGCTTAGTTTCTGGGGAGCTCATCTGTCCAGTAATGTTCTCCTCTTTAGGGAGGACAGAAACTTCTTCAATTAAGTGAGACTCTTTTTCTTTCTCCACATTAGTAACTAGTTGGTGGTCTGGTTCTCCTTCCTTCAAATACTTGAAGTGAACAGTAATGTCACCATAGCAAAATTTGTCACTGAAGCCCTTTTGCATACTCAGGTTGCGTAGTGCAGTTCTAGTGACCATGGCCTTAGGTGCAGGAGCTTCCAGTCTGAACTTGGAAACGTATTCCATGTTTGATGTAGCTAGGCATCCTAGGGCCACATCTTCAAGCTTTAAACTTACATGTCCCAAACAGATGAGACCCCCCAACTTGAAAGGATCCCTACACCACAGTGCAATGTTTAGGTATCGGTGGCAGGGTTCTATGTCAAACAAACTGGATGCTCTGGTTCTTGTCCATTTTCCTAGCTTATTACGATAAAGAATTTCTGATGATTCCCATGTGTGACGGTCATCTGTATTGTCCTTGGTAGGGCAGGAACTTTCTGAAGTAAAATCTTTAGCCACTTCTTGCTTTGCTAAAAACTGCTTAGATGTGCTCAAATCTTCTACCTGATCTACACTTTTCACCTGCTTTTCGGCAGACTTGTCTACTGGAGTAGGAAGCAGCACCTTCTCTGGCTTTTCAACAAGAGTATCTGGTTCTGCCTGACTTGGGGCATCAGCAGAAGGCAATGGAACTTTCACTTGTGGTCGTGGTGGCACAGGTGGTTTAAAAGTGGATCCTTGGGTGGGTTTTGACACTTGTATTAGGTCTGTTACCTCAGAAGTTTTTAGGGCCAATGGTTTAGCTGCTTCTTTGGAAGAAATTTTTGGTGGTGGTGGGTGACTTCCTGCAACTAATTTACGGTTTAAAACTGGTGATACAGTGCCGAGGGGTTTAATAGAAAGTGTTGTTGGAGTCCGTTTGGGACTATGACTTAGTGGTTGTGCCTCATCTTTGAACTCATTTTGTACTCTGACATCACTTGCCAGGTCTTCATATTCAGAATCCATGTCTCTGTTTTCAGTATCCACTGCCAGCCCCACAGCTTCCTCTTCATAACTTGGTTGGCTTGAGCTGGACAGAAAGTTTTCTTCCAACTGGCTGAGATTATCCTGTAGCACCACACCTGGATTACTCTGGCCAACGGGCCTTTCATAGTACACCAAAACTCGTTCCCCGGCCTGCTTGATAAGCTTCAACACTTGCAGTGTCGAGGTAATTTTCACACCTGGTTTTAAGATTTAAAAGGGAAAACATCAGTTATTGTTATAAAAATTACCTACATTTGTTACATATAATTGCGATTACCTTTTTAAAGAATACTTGGCTAACGGAAGAGTAACAGGGAATCCTTAAAAATGTTTTACTTGATTTCTGGATGAATCATGTTCTGATTCTCAATCTGAAGATGCTGAAACCTAAGAACATTTAACCTTTTCAACGCAGATGACGTAAATCCCTAAGAGTACCTGCCAACTGCTAGTCCTAACTGCTTCCCACTCCATCCTAGGGTAAACGACATTGTTTCTCTAACTGAACTGAGATAATGAGTAGAGAAAAATCTATACTTAAAAGGATTTTATTACAGTTAAACTAGAATTAGAATATGAGAAGCTTATGAAGGAAATTCCAAAATATCCCAGGGATTGGAAGCTATGTGATGAATGATTCACATTAAGAGAACAATGCTTGAAATACATATAGCAAAATACTGTAATATGAATAACTGACTCTTTTTACAGATGCTTTTTGTTAGTCATAACCACTGAACTCCTCTTTTTCAGGATGACAAAAAAGTAAGTTGCTTTAAAATTTAAAAAGTTGGTTAATATCTGCATCTGTACCACCTTAAATTTTAATATTATTTTCGAATTGTTATACTAACATAGCTTAAAATTCAAAAGATACAAAAGGATATACAGTGGAAAGTTGATTTGCATGTCTACCTAGGAGGCACATGTCCCTTCCTGAGGTCCCAGTGTGATATTGAGTATGTTACATTTAATGCCTGTTTCCTCCCCAAACAGCACTTAGCCACACTATCCCTTATATATGTATCAAAGGTAAGATAGGTTTTTTATTATCTAAAGGAGTCAGGGCCATATTCAATAAATCAAAGTAACGCCAGCCTCTTCTAATGGCTTCACCTCCCAGGTTCCTCAACCTGTGTGCTCTCTTACTTCAACCACCTGCAAGAGCACGCTGGAGACCTGCTCATCAAGCAGAGCTTCGCAACACTAAAAATATCTTGCATCACTGTCTTTTTATTGTTGTACCTCTTGTGATCCTGCAATCTGTTTGTAAGCAATTTCGCAGCCCAGTCTTTCTTCTTTTTCATGGTCCTGTTGGTCTTCTGATACGATTTGCTTATCTACTAACCCGAGTCTCAAGATTACAATGATGTTCTCTCACTACACTATATACCTGTCTTTTTGACCTCCAGCTTTGCAAGCCCCATCCCTTTTCTGCTCTTGAGCTTACCACCTGGATGTAACAACAAGTCGTTAGTGTCTGTCTCTGGCAAAGGATTCAGTGCTGCTTAGCTTTCTTTTAGACGGGTCTCTAACTAACCAAGTCTCCAAATGAACAGCCTCAAACCCTCCCCATTCCTTAGAGCCCACCCTCCCACCTCCTCTCACTCTGTAGATGCTATAGTTTCCCTGCCAGGGATTGTGAGTCTTACGCAGGAGGAGGACATGTCCCTTTATTTTACTCTGGATCCCTTTTTAGACTTTCGCTTCATTAATTTTCCTCTTATCTTGCTCCTTCCCCCTCCTTTCTTTTAAAAAACAAACAAACAAACAAACAAAACCTTCCTTCGTTTTCACTTACACTAAGGTGGTTGTGGTCATCTCTAGTTTTTCTGCACTTACATTTGACTGTCACTTGCAAACAAGCATTAGAAGTAGAGCGATCACTTATATTTTTACTCTACATATGTTTGTACTGCTTTTTGTTTTGTGACATAGTAATCATTTATGTAACTGAAAACTATAAGAGGACATAAAGTTATAAAAACATTTAAACAGAATTGTGTTTTTAGCAGAGGAAAACTACCTCTAATGTTCACATTACACAATTATGTAAGGAGCAACACACAGGATGAGGTCTATTTCATGCCCTTGGAAATAGTGGGCCAGCAACTCCAGCATTACCCAAGGAGCTGACACTCATGCAGAATCTTGGGCCAGGACTCTCGAACCTGTGTGTACATTGGAACACCAAGTCTGGGTGACTGAGACACACAAGAAAGTGTGAGAAGCACTGCATATGAAATGATTAGAGATTCTGAGGCGAAAATACTTAGTTGGACTATCAGATATACAACTAAATCATTTTCATTATTTGATTGTCATGATAAAATTAAATCAGAGTTTCTTTGATATGTAACCAGATAAGTGCTCTTTGATTTAGGAACTCCTATACCTAATTACTGTTATCATTTTAACTGCGAGAGAACATACCACCTTGTGTTAGTCACTTTCCCATCACTGGGACAAAATACGCAACATCCGCAACTTAAAGGAGAGGTTTATTGTGGCACACAATTTTTAAGAACATCCAGCCCACAGTTAAGTTATCCCCAAGGCAGAAACGGCATGGCAGAAGGCATGGTGAAGGAAAGATGCTGGTTCCATAGAAGCTGGGAAGTAGAGAGGGAGAGGAAGGGAGGAGGCAGGAGATAACAATACCTCTTTTTCCAGGGACCAGCCTGCTCCAACCAAGTCTCACCTCTTAACAGTACACAGCTATGAAGTGATAGTGGCCAAGTTCATAGATCAGTATAGTGTCCCCACGATCCAAACACCCTTTAAAAGTCCCATGTCTTAATATAATGAGACTTTTGGAGAACATTTTATTTTTTTAATACGGGGGATCGAACTCATGACCTCACGCTTGCCAGGCAGGCGCTTACGCTGCTGAGCCAAATACCCAGTATGTTTTTTATTTTTATTTTAATTTTTTTAAACTGGGAACCAAACTCAGGACCTTGTTCTTGCCAGGCAGGCAATGGAGAACATTTTAAATTAAAAGTGTAACACTCTGTCCCTGGCTCTCAAAAGGCTCATAACCATCTTATCATGCAAAATGCATTTAGCCCATTTCTAAGAGTTGCTAGAATCTTAAAAGTTCCAGCATTGTTTAAAAGTTCAAATCCAAAGTCTCTTCAGACACCGAAGGCAAACTCTTAGCTATAAGCCCTTGTAAAAATAAAAAAGAAAAGTTAAATAATTCTAGCATACATTTACATGGGATAAACATTCCTGTTTCAAAAGGGAAAAATCAGGAGACAGGAACGGAACCAAAGCAAGACTGAAACCCAGCTGGGCAAACATTAAACCCTGAAGCTCCATGTCCAACACCCAGGGCAGGCTGTGATGAGTCGTAAGCTCCATGGGGTGGGGCCTTGTCTGTCACAGCCGGTGTGGCTCTCTTTTGGGCTTTCCTCAGCAGATGCTCTGCATTCCTAGCATCTCTGACATCCCAGAGTCTCCGCTGCATGTTCAGCTTCGCTCTCACAGCTTTATACACTGCTGTTATGGTTAAATCTAAAATATCCCCCCAAAAGCCCTAGGTTTAGAGGTGGAGCCTGGAAGGAGTGGGTCGCTGGGAGGTGACCTGGAAGGGTGTGTTTTTGTCCCTGGCCTTCTCTCTCTCTGCTTCCTGTCTGCTATGAGTTGAGCAGCTTTCCTTCACTGTGCCCTTCTGCTATGCCATTCCAGCTGAGACTGAATCCTGTGGCAACTATGAGCCAAAATAAGACTTTTCCTGCTTTAAGTTGTGGGTGTGCCATGATGGAATGCTGACTAAAATAAACATTGGCTTTAAAAGAGTAACTGTGACCAATCATGTACTCAAGAAATTTCTTGACAAGTCTACAATGGCCAAGTACTGTAAGGTCTGGAGAAGTTTGAATTCTACCGCCAGCGCTGTGCACAGCAAAGTCCTACTGCTTAGATATACATAGCCAAGCAAACAATTTGCCATCAGTAGACTTCGTGTCATTACTGATGAGAATAACCCAACTGAAAGGTGTCTAGTATAGAGGTGACATATTTTTCCACCATGCACTTGCAGTCAATAGCGTCCCACAGATAGCTGGACATTCAGACAACCCATGACCACAGGACAGTGCATGTGTGTTCTCTTGGACAAAGAGCTATAGCTCCTCATGGTTCATTTCCTAGTCCTACCTGATAGGGCAGTAGGGCTAATAGTATAAATTTTAGGCTCAAGAATAGTAATGGTGGTAGCTGTACAGAAAAGTAACTGTTGACTTGCTCTTACTTTCCGATTCAAATAAGAGAAACAGAACATGCTAAGTGAATGAAAATTAGAAAAGTTGTTTAAAGATGAAGCATTTTATATATTAAGACTAAAAATAGCATACATTTTTAAAAGCATCTCTTTAACAAGTCCTTTCAGATTTTTATTTGTAATAAAATTTCTTTCTACTTTAAAAGTAACACATGCTTATAATGGGGCCTAGGGAAGAAAGAGGAAGTGAAAGTCACGTCTACTTTCTAGTTCTCTGTAAATATAAAGTATATTGGATATTAACATAGATACCTCCAATAGCAATGAGTCGATCTCCCCGCTGAAGATCTGCAATTGCAGCAGGTGAGTTTGGGGCCACGGTTTCAATTATGACATGCCCACCATACCCGTCAGTTGACTGAACAAGACGAAGTGTAAGTCCAACACTTTGTAAACTGCCTTTTATTAATTCAACCTTTGATAAATAAAAAAACAAAAACACATTCAATGTATTCATAGAACAATAGTAACACACTGACCACAATTGACTGACTTTTGTAAGTTGATGATTGTAATTATAGATCAATAAAGGAGGGATGAAATCATTATTTTAACAATGTAAATTAATATTCTCAGACCACATTTAAGTTATGGAAATATTAAATATTCTGTCTTCAATATGTCTTAATGAAGATTCATTTGGAAATAAACAGAAAGGCTAAATGAAAAGCACTCCCAATAATACTATCTAGAACTATTAGTATTTCGTATTTTCTAATGTATATTTGAACACAAAATTGAGAATTGTGTCAAAATGGAGACACTGTGGATATAAATGGACACACAGCATATCATCATATATTATAATTCTGAACTTTTCTTTTTCACATATAATGGGAATAACCTGTATCACTAAATGTGCTTTTAATTCCACTTCTTATAGAATATAGTTGGCTTGGTTGGTTAAAAGGGGATATATGTAGGTTACACACAAATAGTAAACCATTTAAAACAATAGTTTTGAACATCTGGAGATTTTGGTAAATCTAAAAGTGGTGGTGGTGTGTTTGTGGGGGACCTTGAGATACTAACAGATGACTGTATTCTTAAATTTTCTTTTGGGAGAAGGAAAAAGGAAAATTACAGCCAGAGTTTACTGAGTGGCCTTGTTAAAAAGATGCTAACTTATAAACATTTTTCCCCTTAAACAAAGGTCATGTCACTCAATTCATCAAAAATATGTATAATTAGGTGACATGCTCAGGATCCCTTTTGTGTTTCTGTTAGACTGAAGCTTCCTCTCAATAAATATACTCTGCTCTTAACCTCCATTGTTTCTCAAATTCATTCTTCGATTTTAGAGAACATGAACTCATACTGGGACATCTAGTAGGTTGGGTGTTTCATTCCCCTATATCATTTGGAGGTCCTCCACCAAGATTATTGGGTAAGAGTTTGCTTTTGTTTCATAGGCTCTGGACTGGGACTCTTTAGGTAACAAATTTTTATGTTTCAAATTTTGCTTTGTCTTTGCCCATTGCTTATGATTTGTCTTTGCCTACTGTTCATAATTTTTTCTTATATAGTTTTGTTAAAAGAATGATAAATCTTAAAGTAAAACACAGTAAAGTTATAAGGTTATGATGTTTCTTTAATGGGACATTTTAATTTATTTTGTTCTTGTACCTGAGCAATTAAATTTATTGGTTAACCATAGTTTTGTCTCACCTTATGCACACCTTGCGAGTTCCCATTTTTCCCCATCTTGGACCCATCTCACCTCAAGGTCTTACTCTATAAAAGTCCTCAGAAAAGACAGAGTCCTTGGCAACCCACTTGGGACCCCATCTGTCTCTTTCTCTGATAGAAGCTTTCTTTCTCTCAATAAACATATTCTGCTCTTAAAGAAAGAATATGTATATTAACCTTCATTTGTAAATTTCCAAAGAAACAATATGCTATCTGTACCCACTCAAATCACTGACTGTATTTAGAAATGAAATCAGATGCACAAGCTTAAATATAGTTTCTCTTATACAAAAAACAAAATATAAATAAAGAACAAAATAAAAATTAGGTAATAGGACACTGGGAAATAGTCTCAAATAGGAAGGGGATGAAGAGATGAAAGCAGGAAAGGAGGGAGAGGGGTGGAAAAAAGGAATTAGGAATTGTTACGTATAGGTACCAACTCCACACAAGGAATGTAAACATTTTGTGCTAAAACTTGCGCAAAAAGAGAAAAGGAAAGGGATCAAGAGGTGGAAGGAGAGGAAAAGGATGGAAGGGAAAGGGGATGGAAGAAGGAATCAAAATGTATTAAGTACATGTATCAACTTCTATAAGAAATGTAGACTTTGTATATTAGAGACACATAGCAATAAAACAATGAATACCACATAAAAATACTATTTTATTGTTTAAAATACAGTTTACAAGACCATCCAAATGGTAAATAACTTTTGGAACAAAACTGACTCTCCATGAGGTAAAATTACTATTAAAAAAACAGTGAAAAAATATGTAATGGTATTCTATCTATCTATCTATCTATCCATCTATCTATATATCTGTATCTTAAAAGTTATACATAAAACTACTGGCTATACTATGTACCATGTATATGTTATAAAAGTCTCCCAAAGAGAACTTTTAAAGTGACATAAGAATAAATAGAAACAGAAATCTTAAATTATTTTTTCTATGTCTGGTGAAGTATGTGGCATGCACTCAGGAATATGATACCATTATCAAGATTTTCAAATTTCAAATATATACAAGATGACAGAGAAGACTAAACTGAATCCTGTGGCGGATCAAAATATCTAGTCACAAATTTCTGTTGCCCTTGTATGCATGTCTCTTTGCCATGTAGCTTTACTAAACTTGTCATTAGAAGCATAATTTACTTCTCTATCCTTTTCTCAGCAACCAATGTACCCTCTGCCAAAAAAAAAAAAAAAAGGTGACACAGGCAATCTGAACATTACCAACCTTGACTTAGTTGACATTTATAGAACACTATGCCCAACAGTAAGAGAACACACAATTTTTTCAAATTCTTCAAGAGTCTGGAATGTTGCAAAACAAAGATCAATGAATTTAAAAAAGACTGTACTTGTATATTCTCTAACCATAATGGAATTACATAAGAAATCAACAGTAATTAGAAAGATCTCAAGTTTCTAGAAAATGAAGCAACACACTTCTAAATAATGTGGGAGTCAAAGAAATTATAAATATTGAAAATATTTTCAATGCAATGATGAAAGTAACAACCAATAGAAATTTGTGGGATACAATTAAAGCATTGATTATAGAAAATTTATAGCTTTAAATGTGTTGAGGAAAAAAAAATCTAAAATTAGTGATTTGAATTCCCATCTTAAGAAAATTTAATTCCAAAGGAGAAACAAAGAAATAGAAGACAAAACAACAAAGATATCAATGAGATTGATTTAATAAAATGATCAGTAAAACTGATTTACCTCTAGGCTAAACTAATTAAGGGGAGAAAAAAAGAGGTAAGACATACATTATTAAAATCATGACTAAGAAGGAGATATGGATCCTATGAACATTACAGAATAAGGTAGCAGTGTGAACAACTTCATGCAAGCATTATCTGACAACCTACCTGAACTGAGAATTTCCTTCAAGATACAAATAACAAATACTGACCCCAAAAGACAGAAATCTTAAATATGATTATCAATACATAAACTTCATAGCTAAGTTTTTCTTCAGGTCTAAGTTGCTTCATTGGTGAATTCTTAGAGAAGAAAAGTAACAGTGTGACTTGAATTTTTTAGCAGCAGAGAAAGAGGGAACACTTCCCAAATCATACATTACAGTCAATGTTTCAGGAATACCAAACCCACACAAATACAAAACAATAAAAGAGAACTACAGACTAATATGTGTAATATTCAAACATGAGAGAAAAATAAAAATACAGTATAATAATCATAACCAAATGAGTAGACTCAGTAATTCAAGGTTAGAATCGATGAGTGGAGGCCAGGAACCGTGGACCTGCCAGACAGGAAGGTTACAGTGGGGAAGCCGTGCAGTCCCCACCCACTGTGTGCTGATGGAGGACTTGCTGGCTGCCAGGGAGAAGCAGTAGGGAAGAAATGTGCCCCCATATCCCACATCCAGAGGACCTGCTGGGGAGAAGCAGTTGGGAGGCAGTGCAGCCCCTACGCTCTGTACACCAGTAGACGTCTCGCAGGCAGCAAGGAAGTAATGCAGCCCTCAACTCCATGCACCTGTGCAGGTCCTGCTGGCCGGGGTGAAGCTGAGGGGAGCGGTGCGGCCTTCCTGTGTGCCAGTAGAGGCCCTGTGGGCCGGGGAAACAGCAAGGAAGCTGCCTCCGCCTCCTCTCCCTCCCCTGACCCTGAGAGCACCACACACGACACAGGCTGAGATGATGATAACTGAAATAGGGAAGCAACCTGACATTTATATTATCTGAATGCTTTGCAGGTCTGGGGTCAGTGATCCCGGCAACTATTTAGAGGATAACAATACGTAATACAGTATCGGTTGTGGATTTCCTACTGTCTTGTCACTGTTTTGTTTTGCTTTATTTTACTGTGCTGTTTTATTCCCTTTAAAATAGTAATAATGATAAAAAAGAATCAATGAGTGTAATTCACCATATTAAAATAACTGAAAAAGTCATATAAATGTTTAAAGAACTACTAAAAAAGCCATCACAAGCTATATATACAAGGTAACTTTTAAACCTGAGTACAGGCTCTATAAAACTTTACAAATACCATAAAACTCAAAGGTCAAAGAGTCAATGTTTTCTTCTTGACTCAGTAACAAGAAAGGACTTTTACTACTTTAACACTTATTGAATGTTATGGTGTGATAAATTTAAAAGGGGACACATAAAGATTGGGATGGGAAGAGAAAAGCTGTCTTCATTTGCAGGTAACATCATCATATACACAGACAATCCCAAAAAACATGCCATTTTTTGTCTTAAATATACATATTAGTACTACAGGTAACTTTGTTTTTCAATTTATGTAATTTAACAAAATATTTTGGGATGAATTTATATGATCCTTAAGTCAATCAAAAAGAGCAACATTTGGATAGTTTTCTCATTTAAATCATTTCAATCAAATAACTTTTGATAACTGAAATTACTACAAAGAGGATAAAAGATTAAACCAGATATAACTAGATGCAAGAACAGTGTGCTCAAAAGAATAAATGTCCACAAAAACTCCAATTTTTAATTTTATTGCAGTTAGGGAGAATACATTTTTATTAAATTTTTGCTTGTGGTTAAAAACAGAAAGAACAATCTTGTCTCTGAACTCTCCACCAAAATCAAGCAACTACTATATTTTAAAACATTTGTTTTTAGTTGTTCTAAAGGTTACCTTTTTTCTCTAGATAATAAGTACACACTATCATTTCCTATCAAACTGTAGACAATATACTGACTGGCTA